CACCACTAAACCCTGATCCACTGATTGTACGGCAAAATTGATAGGTGAAAAAAGCAAAATATCTGCGACCATGCATACGCGTTTTGGCCATATGCGCATGCTTGCATGCACACATGCAAATTATGAACATGCAAATGAGGTTTCTGTGCGTGCGCCTTCAAAACTCACAGGAGGGGGAGGAGGGGTTGGAGTTGCAGTTGGGACTTCTGCGCTAAATGCCGAGGGTGGAGGCGGGGAGAAACCACTGGAAGGGAAAGGAGAGTCCGCTGAGGCAGGTATATGCATGCCGTAGAACTAAACTATAGACATTTTATATAGCCACCATCTTTTTTGTGCTTCTGCCTAAATGCAATGTTACAGACCGCTAAGCCCACAAAATCAGCACTTTAAGCCAACACCTATGAAGTCACGTTGCAACCCACAAAAGCCTCCACTAAGTCCAGTAGGAGTGGCGCCAAATGCTGGCCGAAGAGCTTTTCCCCATCTGCAGAGTCAGCGCCCACATCCCAAGCCTTATACCGTTAACCCCTGATCCACTAGAATAAATATAGCCCGTCTGCCCATACGCTGAAAGTCATAACCTGAACCCGAAAACCTGGAGTTCGATCGCTCACCCAATCCGAATGACCATTCCATAGAAAGACTTGCCATCAAGGCTGTTCTTGGCAGACTCTGCGACAACACAAAAAGGAACCAACGAGGAATTGCTGAGGAACTGCTCAGAGCGGTGGTGCCTTCCTGTTGGCGAGAATTGAAGCCTGTAGGCATTCGAAGCCTGGCCTTCCAGGCATACTATCTGCAGTGTGAACCCTAGAATTTGCAAACTTCGGCTGAAGGCTTGTTCGTTAGGGCTCACGGACTGCCATGCAAATTCAGAGGTTTGGACTTTAGGATTAGAGCCTACCCGCTTGTGGTCTAGTCTCAAAGGAGACGAATCCACAATTTCTGTTCCTTCGCTTCTCTTCTTCTGTTCTTGGGTACATTATTTTTACGCTGGTAATCACGCCGTGCTTGCCAAACTGTTGGCACAGAAACTCCTCCGTTATCTGCACTCATGCATGCGAATACATACAGTCTATCTACAAATAGCTACACAAAAAGAGCCTTACCTGCACTACTTGCACGCTTGCATATATGCACTAAATGCACACATGCATACATGCACGCATGCATGTCGAGAAACAACCCCAGTCTTCCAGCAGCACAGTTCAACAGGCAACCCCCTGCCACGGACGTGCTGCACGTAGCTACACCTGCAGCTGCGTAAACGTGTGCTTAGCTTCCCTTTCAATGAATGAAGGTCACATTCGCTCCCCGCCACTCCAAGCTCCAAGCAGGATGCAAGCAGTGTATACGCACCTCGGGTGAAAGGTTGCCAAGATACAAATTGGTTGAGCTCTCTTTCTCCAAGTCTATCGGAGGGGCACCACGGGGCCTCGTTGCATTCTGCGGAGACGAAAAACAGACCCCAAACGCGAAACGATTAATACTACCGACTAGACCTCAATACTACGGACTAGACCTCTCTAGACCTCAATACTACGGACTAGACCTCACGCCCTTGGTGATCTATCCAACAACCTCGAAAACTACGTCAAGCAACATAAAGCGCCAAAGCAGCGAGTGAGCAGCGAGCTCGGCTTCCCCAGCCTTGACCACAAACTAGGGCTCACCTCTAGGGCGGCTATCTGGAAGCGGAGGGCGCATCGCTCCTCCTCTGCAGACAGCCAAACAACAGCATTAGCAGCAGCACTACAACAGCAGTGCCTGCACCAACGGGAGAAGCGTCAACGTGACCTAGCACCAACAACTGCAACAGCAGCAGCCACACACGTCGAAACGCCGCCAGCAGTAGCTGTAAATCACCTGTGCGCGAAAGATTCAGCCTTTCGTAAAGTCTCCGTTTTTGACCTTGAAGTTCCTGACGCTTCTTGATCTCTGAGACACACCCAGTGGCAAACCGTACGTTCATGAAACGACCATGGAGTCATGAGTCACAGAAGACCTTCAACTGTCAAAACCAATCGAGAAGCTGAAAACAAATGCCCTTCAACTGTAAGCTCTCTGCAATAACCGCATCTAAGCTCGAGCCGCAAAATATTGCGCCCTAAAACTAAGCTCTAACCTTCAAGGAAAGAATCAATTTCCCTCTTCTGTCCCGGGCGTCCTGGCATGCGTTTCGGGGCTGGGGACTGCGTGTTGCTACTGTTGCTATTCGCTGCAGCCGCAGCTGCTGCAGCAGCGGCTGCGGCAGCGGCTGCTGCCTCGGCTGACTTGGGGGCATTGCTTGGCACCCACAGTGACCCCTGATTCAAAGGACAAGTGGAATTAGCAACAAAAATCCACCCCAAAGCGAACCAAACCTGCCGCAAGGAACTTTACAGGGCTCCAGCGGATACTTAATAGGTTGAAGTGAAGCACAAGGAGGTCCTTGCAGGGAGCACCTGAAGAACCAGGGGCTTGTATCTGCAAACTAGGACCCAAACCCGAATAATTCTCCCAAAAGCACACAGGCCACTTCACAGAGGCCAACGTCGCCTTGGCTTACGAACCCTTGACCACAAAGGGTTCCCTAAAGCTTTGCGTATGTCTTAAAGTCCAACACATCAATTCCTTAACCGTGAGCTGTGAGCTAAAAACCCTACCTTTTTACTGTCAATAGCAACTTGGCCCGATCCAGCGTTTATCACTCCCCCTGAACGCACACAAAGTAACGGGCGTAAAACCCTATACCCTAGACCTTCTAACCTAGACACTAAAAGCGAAGCCCTACACTTTGGGAGTTTACTTCACCTCTGACAAACGCCTTGTCAGCTGAAGGGTCCTCTGGCTGAAATGTCTTCAGGAACTCCTGGTAGACACGGGCCGTTTCCGGTTCCGCTGCACCCTGAGCAGCACAGCAGGAGCAGTAGCAGCGCAGACGTAGCCACATAGCAGCTGTAACATAACGTGACGGCATGGAAGGCTACAAGAACCATGAAACCTAAAGAATTGGGGCCCTTACTCCTCTACGTCCACCGCGACGGTCTGCCATGTTCCCTCCTGGTGCTCCTGAGAGTGCTGCTGTTGCTGGTGCAGCTGCAATTCAGGACCATCGAACTCGAGCACACGGAGTAGCCGCATCCAACTGTGGCGAGAACTGCCACTTTATGCTGTCCTTGAGACAAGAGGACACGAAGTGCAACTGTCAAAGTGGCAATTCGGGCGCAGGTGCCCACCTGCTGCAGTTTTAAGTTGCCGCTGCAGCTACTGATGTTGTTGTTCTTGCGGCTTCGGTTTCTGCTGCTGCTTCAGTACAATCAAGTCGAAAGAACAGCTTAAATTACAGGCGAGTTACCAAACGCTGCATTGGTTGAGGCACAGGTATATGACTGTGGCTTCGATGCGTTCAGGTCAAAGGGCTCCCAGAGAGCTCCGACGCGACGTCCTGGTCCTCTTGCCGGTATGGTATTAGTCCCTCGGCTGCAAATAGCTATAAAAAATCTATTTATCGTAAAAGGAAATAACGCCCCAGTGTAAAGAGCCAGAGTTCAGCTGGTGCTCCGCATGCAGCTGCCTGACCTCCTTGCATGACCACAACCCGTTGGGCCTCTCCACCTGTGTACTATGCGGTTTTGAATGATATAATTTACAATCTTTCTCCGATTTACCTGTTAGGCTTTGCATGTTGGCAAATTTGCATGCTTAGTTACTCTGTAGGCGTCCACGATGATTTGGAAGACCTGCGGTATCACCTACGTCCGGTACGCTGCCGAGATGGCAGACCTACTCAGGAAGTGAGGCCCCACACATCTACTCACAAGTGCACATACCAATTTAGGAACCATGGGGATGCCCCACGCGCATTACGGATACGAAAGGGGAAGTCGAGGCCCATGACGGCGAGGGGCGCGCGAGGGCGCCATAAGGCATCTGTGGCGTCTCGTCCCGAGCTGTAGGGGCAGGTAGTACAGTCAGAACTTTATGAGGAAAGCTTGAGTAGCCACAGGACGAGGAGCAGCAGCTGGAGCTGTTACTGCTGCCGCAGTAGCTACCCTGTGAAAACCCAGCGGAGTCTTCAGCCATTTAGATGTTTTTCTACTTTTGCCTCGATGCTTTCAAGAAACGTTTTGCGGACGCTACTTTATAAGTGTTTGACATCTCGGGTTTTTTGGTCATCAACTTGGGTCTTGTGGCTGAATAGGTGCATCAAGGAGCCCTATAGGACCCAGCTGCAAAACAGAAATCGGGTCCACTTTAAGGAGACCATCTACAAGCAAGGAGCCGTTGTGTCTAGGGGTAAGTCATCCGTGGTCTAGGCAGCAATGGCGCAACTGGCTAGTTAGCTTCGCATACCGAGTGAACTCCAAATCCTGCTCCCGCAGGCTTCCCTCTGGCGAGCTCCGGGTGTTGCTCGGCTTATCAATGCTTGAGGCTTTGCTTACGGCTGTGCTACAGAGACCTATGACAAGCTCAAGGCAGCGTTTGAAGCCTGCTCCGGGACAGCAAAGAAGGCGGACTAACTTTCCGGCTGCTTAGGTGTTAAGGCTTTGGGCTGACGTTTTGTAACTCATTTGTGTTTTTGGTGCGTGGCTGGGTGGTTAGTGACAAGCAGCGCTGTGTCCGTATCCATGATATGTGTGCGCGTGCTTGTGTTTGGCGCCTCCGCAAGTCAAACGGACACGCGGCAAAGCAAACGTGCAACGATTTTAAGAATGAAAGCAGATGAAGAATGGCTCCCAGATAGGCCTAGTTTGAGACCACAAAACGGCAGTCACAAGGCTGGCAGCTTCTGCTGCAATCTTTTGCAGCAGCTAGCTGCAGCTGTTTACTGCGGCAGCTTGCTGCTGCAGTATACTGCGATGGCAGTCCCATGAGTACCTGATAGCAACGGGGACATTCCTTTTTGTGTTTTCCTTTGGACTGTTCAAGCCCGGGTCCACTACCTGCCGTTCCACCCAGTGATATATTTGCTGCTAGTGGTACCGATGGTCGCTGAGATGCAAGCAGCAGCACGGTATCTACATTTTCTTCGCACCGCCTTTCCACTGCTGCTGCTGGCGGCGCCAGTAATCAGTGAAGGATTTCAGGTCTCTGCCGCTCCTGTTGACAGACACTAGGCCCGGGACAGCACGCAGCATAATATTGCGGAGATAACCCAAGTACGCTTGCTGCTGCTGCTGTTGCTGCTGTGGAGATGGCTGCTGGAACAGCACCTGCTGCTGTTGGGTCTGTTGTTGCTGAACAGACGTCAATACATCCTCAGGAGACACCCATATGCATCGCAGGTGCTGGCTGGGCTCCAGCAGCAGAAGCAGCATATGCCGCAGAGGGCTGTTGACCTGGCAACGCAAGGCACAAGCCTTAGACCACACATCGTAGCTAGCAAAATCTAAGCTCTAAGTGCTCATGCATTCAAGCAGCTGAAAGTAGGGCCACAGCATATATGCAACAACAAAGTGCAGCAGCGGGACACCTGCAGCATCATCAGGAGCGACCGCGACAAATGCAACCGCAACGACGATACCTGCAGTTGCGTAGGAAACAACAGCAACTGAAGCAAAAAAGGAAGAGGCTGCATCAACGCCACAACAGCCGCCGGTCTTTACAGGCGAAGCAGTAGCCACAGCAGCGACAAGAATAGTGAATGAATTACTGTGTGTGGAGTAGTGTAGGCGGGCCCTCTCCAACTATTTGGGGCTGTAGCTGATGCTTGCTTGTTGCTTGTATCTTGAGTGTAAGTACACCCCAGAAGCGCCACCCTCCCCTTGAGCCTGCTGATGGCTGCAGCATCCAGACCCTTGGCGTCCCACTGCAACAAACAGCTGCCATTGCTCTTCTGGCCCTCTGGAAACATCGCAAGAGGAGGAATGAATCTGTTGCTATCGTTGCTTTTGCCGCTGCTGCCCTCAAGGGACATTAGAAGGGCAGACAGTGAAGGGTACTGACCGCGACCAGGCAGAAGCTGCAGCAAAAAGCAACATGCAGCAAATACAACGATCGTAGCAGCATCTGAATCAGCAGCAGCTGTTCTTGCTGTTGCAAAAAGGACGGCACTTCACCATCCTCTGCAGCCGCTGCAGCAGCTGCAGCCGCTGCAGCAGCAGTAGATACCCCGCGCGCTGCAGTAGCTCCAATCCACCCACATAACTGACAGCAGCGAGCAAGACGCAGCAGCAGCAGCCCGGGAACGAAAAAACAGCAGTGGCAGCAATGACAGCACGCACTCACCTCGAAGGAAAAGGAGTACCGAATAGCACTCCAAATAGACAAGACGGACAACGAACCATCAGCATGCAGCCCCAAAAAAAGAGGGCAAAGTCGCATTTGCAAATACAGTACTTCAACAAAACAAGTGAAGGTCGACAGGCAAAGGCAAGCCCTGGACGGAACTCTAGAGTAGCCCATGAGTGCCCCATGGGGACCGCCAAGGGGGTCTCCACGGAAATCCGTAGTAACCCCTTGGGGGTCGGACTTCTCATAGCGTGTTGAGGAGTTTGCGCAGAGGGACAGGAAGGAAGCAAATATAGACCTTGGTTTGACTGATGGAGGGCGGATTTGCAAGCGGCGATAATCTGAGGGACAAAAAATGAGATGTGCGTTAAGTAGGTGTGGCAATTGTGTGCTTCATGCAATCACATGAGGGGTTTGTACGCCACTAGTCCACTGCGGAAGGGAGTTACGGCTTTCTGTTAGACGTAGAAAAGGAAACTGAGGGAAACAAAATGGCCAACAGTGGACAGAGATAAAGACTTAATAAAATTACATAGACGAAGAATGGACAAGCAATGTACCTGCTCTTTCTTCTTGTATACAGTGGAAACCAAACGCAAGTAAAGCCAGGCGCACGGGCAAGTGCAGCAGCAACCGCTTGGATCTCCAGTAAAGACGGGGCAGCCGCTGCAGTGGCAGAATTAGTAGTAGCAGCAACAAAGCCAGCAGCAGTGCGAAGCTTAGCAGAAACAGCCGTAAGACTGCCAGAATAAGCAGCATCGGGTACAAAGCCCAATTGCAGCAGCAAACCACAAAAGATAAAACGCGGGAGCCGCATAGGGGGCCCCGCAGCTGCTGCCTCATGTAATAGGTTGGCACAAAGGGCTGACAGCCAGTCTGCTCATCTGCGAAAGTTCGGTATTTCTCCATCTTGCAGTGGCCTTGCTGCTGTTTTGTTGCCTTTGCAGCTGTAGCTGATCCCTCAGCAGCAACGACAGGCTCGTTGCTGCTGCAATCAGGCTGCAGCAACCGGTACTGCCTCTTTAGTAGTGTTCTTGCCCTGTCGTTGCAGCTGTCGTTGCATCCCAGAAGCACTTCCCGTGTCCTTGGTCCACAGTTGTCGCTGCTAATCCGACCACCTGTCTTTGATTTCTCCAGATAGTCAACTCTTATATCTAAAATTCTGTCGCTCCAAGATTATATATTAATGTTTTGTAGGGAAACACTGCACCGCAGATAATCATGCATGCAGGCAGCACAGCGCCGCCGTCGGCCTAGCTGTACACATTGTGTGTTTATCCACTACAAAATCGGAGCGAGTAAAAAAACACTGGTCGGCTGTTTCGAAATCGCATTAGGAACTTAAATATTGAATGCTTCAGCATTTTGTTGTCGGCTTAGCGCTCCTCACGTTATTTGGCGGCCTTGAGACGCAGTTGGGGCCCGCCAGTCCCATGGAGTCTCTTTCTCCGACTGTTCTTTGAAACATCCATTTAACGCGAGCTAGTGGAAGAAATTCATTAAACTATGTAGAGATAAATTCAAAGTAAATCAAAGTATAAACGGATCCGCAACGTGGTGATGGTGTGACCACAATATCTTGGAGTTCATTTGCCTCTCCATGCATGCTCATTGACTATATACCTAACTAATGCTTGTCTGTATGTCAAGTAGACGAACAACTAAGTAAATCGCAACGATGCTTTGGAATTCTGATTTTCGTATGCAAATCTGTGTCTGCATAGCGTGGCCACATGAATGGCAAACGTTTCGCACACCACAGGCATTATAACATGATCATCGGGCTAATTCACTACATTGATAGCTGCTCTGTCAGATGACCCTGATCAGGCTCAAGCTTTCACATGCCCATATTTATTGGGCGAGGCATTCGCATCAGGTCGCTATATCAACGTGCTTCCTTCGAAGGGCTTTGCCAGTTTTTCATCTACTACAGTTTTGTCTACGTAGCCATGTTCTACTCTCTTCAAAGGGCTGAAGGTAAGAAAACATCAGGGCTAAAGGCAAGCATCTTGAACCTGCAGCGACCCGTCTGGCCATTTTTGTGCGCTTTGCCTAGCCATCTACCCGCCTAGACAGGGCAATGGTGTTTTCCTTGCACTTTCGGCCAACGAGGATAGTACATGTAGTGAAAGTGGTGCCAACAGTAGCCTTCCGGTTGTTTCATGCTGTTTTTGTACATTGTCTCTAGACATATGTATACTAATATAGTTGTAGCGTCATGCATATGCGTATATATATCCCATGTTTTGAAATATGGTTTCAGGCTGAAAGCCCTGATCAAACGCTGAGCCTTAGGAGCTGCACACTGTGTCGTACGCGAGATGCATTCCATCACACAAGCGCTAATGATTATGCATGAACCGCCACATACGACAAAGAAAAGCCAGCACAAAAGGCATTCCAAAAGGTCCATTAGTATTTTTGAGACCGTATGCCGGCTAGCTCGTTCGATATTTTGCTGTGTCTGTACATATTTTGTCTGTGTCGCGTAGAGCTTGAGGCGTAACACACAAGCGGCTCAGGATCAGAGCTTAAAGCTCTCAATCGAGGCTTCTACCGTGGGCCACGCCGCTGCTTGCTGCATTCATTCCTGAGCAAGAGCATACTTTCTTCCTTTTACACGAGCTTGGGTTGATTAAGTTTCTTCCTCTCCGTCCGTTTCGTCTTCTGTTTCTCTCTCTGAGGACTCGGGGGGTGGAGGATTCAGCTGCAGGTGTTCTAGGGGAGTTAGTTCTCGCGGCTCCTGCAGTTCTTGCAGCAGCAACTCTGTGTGTGGTAGCAACTCCGTGGCTGTTGCATTCTCCTAAGCCGCATAGGTTAAGCAAGACGAGACAGGCGCACTGCTTTTAGCTGCAAGGTGCGTGCACTGCCTCGGGACTTCGGTCTAGTTACAAAAGCAACAACTTCTGGCACTCCAACAACTGCTGACGCCGATGCTTGGTATTGTTGTTATTTCTACCGCTTTTGCTAGCGCTGGCTTAGCTCATCATTTTGCTGCTCTTGCTGCTGTTTGAAGGGAGGTGTAGGCTAAGGTTACCTCTACTTGAAGCTCCGCAGTCTTGATTTTCCAAATGGCAGCTGCAGCGGCAACTTCGGGCAGAGAATTCCGGAGGCCAGAATGTGTCTACGAAAATAAATATGAACAGAAATTAATCATTAAAATCGAATTGAAGCAACGTGTGAGCGGCGGAACTTCTTGCTGTAGTTCTAATTAACTCAAGTAGGGCTACATGCGTGTCCGTCGCAACATAGAATCCAAACCGCCCTCGGATAGGAGACTGGGTTCAAAGCTTTTAAAACGTTTATCATTCGTTTGAGTTCACATACAGATATCCTGCTGTTCTGTGCAGCCAGATGCTTCACAATCAGAATGCCTGAACAGCAGCAGTGCCAACCACAGCGGCAGCAAGTGCCGCTGCAATTAAGTTCAGTTGTTCACCCCAAAATCACATATTTCAAGCCATTCACGCCCGGTTGTCGCTATCTTAAAGGCGCCCTTGGATTCGTAGCAGAGAGCCCTCAAGACCCTTAACTACGGGACGCCTGGGATTCCGAAAGAGACCCGAAAACCCAGACTTGATTCCCCTAAGGGAAGCCTTGGCAGATCTCTCTTTCTGGGCAGGCTTTACCTTTAATATCACACAGTTCGCGAACTCGCAACAGCTGGGCATGGATGTCTGCTGGGTCATTAGGAAGAGACTGAGAGCACAACCATTGCGCCGAGCCGGGAGCCTCAAATCCATGGATGCAAGCGACAAAAAGCTTACGGCTACAGCAGTGATATACTGTATACGCTGAAGGGCACAAGTATTTACTGCGTTAGGAAAACCTGCAAGGACAAGGTGAGATCCGGTCTGGGAAATGGCGCTGATTGGCAGTGGCAAGGATGATCCCTGTAAAAACAGCAGAAGGGCCCAAAGAGCCAGCATGAGCTTGATTATGAAGCTCGAATTATGTACCCTTGGCCCTACAGCCTAGATCCTATACCACGGCGAAAACCTCAAGATCCAGCAAGTGATGCTCTTTTGCCCTTTATCCGTAGTTGGAAAGTTGCTGCGAAGAGCCAAAACTGAATCCTAGAGTTAAAGCCCTTCGCAGGAGCGACAGACTGTAAGAGCAAGAGACCCACCAACCCTGCATCCCAAGCAGCTCAAGCACGACTAACTCAAGCGGCTGACGCTTTGCACCGTAATACAACTTTAATCTTTCGTTTATCGACAAGTTGGAGCTGAAGGTTGTAACGGCTGCCACTAATTACACTGGGACATATAATGGACAATATAGCATGTGTGCGTGAGGAATCACTTCTTGGGTTGTCCCCAGATGCTGAATTTTGGGCTATGCACAATAAAGATTAGGGTTTGGCTTTCACGATGTGCTTAAGGTTTGGGCTTCAAGGACTTGAACACAGTGCTTCTCTTTACCTAGGACTTCGTTGTCAAGGACATGAAGCTTGCAGCTGAGGCTAAGCGCGAGAGCCTGACGGACTGCTGTTGCTGCTTCTTGCTGTAAAAAGCCATCTGTAAGCAGTATTGCGGGGGGCTTCATGAGGGCAGCAGAAATCTCTTTTACTGCTTCGGATGCTGCATTTGCTGCTGCCTTTGCTGCTGCTGCTGCTGCAACGCTTGAGTCTTCATCGTCCCCTTCGCCGCTGCTCTCTAGGGAAGGTTCGAGGGCGGCAGCAGCAGCAGCAGCACTCAAGTTTATGCGCACACATCGGTCTTTGTACACTTCAGCAATTTTATCTGAGCATGAACAACAGTAGCCAAGAACATGTTTCTGATCCTGAAAACTGTTGGCGCCTTGAGTCGATGTCCAAAATTCCAGGTCTTGAAGCCTCATGACTTCCTTTACCCTTGAGAACTGCTTACACAGGTCTTAAAAAACTGCTTCCTTAATTGCTTCCGGAACTTAGACGCTAGGGTGCAATGATCAATTTAAGGCCATAGTGCTTGCCTCTTGTCTTTTTCTCCTTAACTAGCCTTGACTCTTCTCCCTCTCCACTTCCTTCGTCATCGTTCTCCCCCTCGATCTGTCCGTCTACCTCCTCAAGTACCTAAGTAGCGCCATTGTCAGCGACTAAAATGGCCCAGGTTTGCGGTTGCCAGCGGTGACTAAGTTGGGCCATCTTAGAAAATTTGTGCATTGCTAGCTAGTAATGTACAGCGAGCAGCTGCTGCAGGTGGTTTATGCAGCCGCACCGCTTGAGGAGCCTCAAGGATAATGACACGGGTCAGAGGAACCTTGCGGCTCACAAGCTCCTCGGCCTGTAGCAGATAGTTTTAGCCCCATCATTACACCGGCAGCTCAGTAAACCGTAATCATATAAAGCCGTCTTAAGAGCATCTCATAGTCATGCAGCTGCAGCGGTGAACAAGGCGTCACTGCTACTGATTGTTCTGTGTTCGTGCCCCTTCCACTGCTGCTTCTTACTGCTTTTGCTGCATACCAGTTCAACGCTGTCGAGAACGTCGAGCAGCAAAACTCCATTGCTCACGGCTTTGCCCTGAGGCCTCCTGAGGACCCTGATGGCCTCAGCAATGACCGTCGGGGCCCTTAGGTTGCCTTTGGCTTGCTGAATTGCCTTAGCTAATCCTGTCACCGCTCCACCCGCAGCAACTGCGTGTGGTGTGGCTCCTGTTGTTGATCCCTGATGTAGCGGCTGCTGTTGCTGCTGCTGCTGCTTAACGTGCTGATCTGCAGGGGCTCATCAAATATCGCAATATTTTAAAGCTATTTCACCGTCGCGCTGGTGCAGATGTCACGCAGCCTCTCAGCAATAGCAGGAAGAGAAGGATTTGCTTGTGTCGCTGGTCCCTGCCTCATGAGAAGCAGCAATAGCAACTGTTGCTTGTAGTCCTGCTGCTTACCGAAGTCTGGTATGAGCCTAAGGCCCAGCAGTTTAGCTATTGTCTGACCGAAAATAGGGGTTGCAAGGCCTTTGGGGGACACAACAGCGGCGACTTCAGGGCGCAGAACACTGCAACAAAAAGTGCAATCAGACGCAAAATGGAATCAAACGCAACAAAAACATTAGTATACATAGCAGCAACAACAACGGCAGTGGCATCAGCAACCGCAAGATTGCTTAAGACACCTCGACAGCTCTTCGCGTAGCATCAGTGGATCATTTCCTGTGACCACCAGAATGCGTTTGGCTTTGCCCTGCAGAAGTAGTGCACACAGGCGAATTTTACAAGCGCATTGCAGCTGCACTTGGAGATGATGAGACCGCCAACGGCTCGGCGACCAAACCCCTAAAGACCGAGGCAGATCTCAGTGGAATGTTGTGAATGGAAGAGAGTCATTGTGCACGTAGAGAGTCACTTTAATGTTTTATTGATCACAAGTGCAGGTTACCTCAGTGGCGAAATGCAAAAGAGCGGCACTGGGTGGCTCTTGGTCCTCGATAGGAAGGTTCCCTTCTTCTTCTACATGCTCCGTCGCTGCAGCCACAGCTCGTCAGCCTTAATGCGTGAGCCCTTCACCCTCAGCTTTGCGATTTTAGGGACCACAAGTTGAGAGAATAGCATTGCAGGCCTTTTGCAGGCCAGACCAGAAAAGGATTTGCGTTTGTTGTTGAGCCTTTACCTGTGACGGGCAACAGATGCAGCAAGGCTGCTACAGAGCAGTTGGAGTCCAGCGTTCGAGCTCCGTTTAGGCTTAAAAGTGACGGTGGGAGGCGGAGGGCCACCAGAGGTGCGGTGCGTAGCCATGCGAGCTTGTTTATTGCTCTGGAGAGCAGGAGCCCTTGCTGTGAGCAAAACACAAAAGTAAACCAGTGTTGAATAAAACAAATAAAATAAATTGACTGCAATGCGTCTAGCCATAGGTGGCAGAAATAAGAACACACAAATAGTTGCTTTAGTGCGCAGAGATATGCCCCGAAACAAAGCATTAAGGGTTCCTTGACTGCGGCGACTGTAGCGCTGCTTCTGCACTTTCTGTTGTTGCGAAACGGAAGCAGCGTGCTGTGCGAGGAAAAAAATCCCTTTGCTCTTGCTTGAACAGCTGCTGCTGCTGGTGGCAACGCCATCACCGTGAAAGACACTGACGTTGTCGAGGCACTCGCAATTTGCGTTCGGAACTCCACAGTAGCAGCAGCTGCTGCCTAGGTGTTGCTGTTGGTACCGCTGCTCCTGCTGCTGCTCCAAAGACAGAAGAGCTTCCGCATCCGCAACAACTGTACCCGGCAAAACCTCCTTTGCTGCTTCAGCTGCTACCTCTGTGGTTTCGGGTGGGCCATGCAACAGCAGCACGCGAGCTTGCAATTGTTGCGCCGCCGCCTGCTGCAACAGTCGTTGCAGCACGTGTGGTGCAGCAGCAAGGCCTTTCCGCAGAAGGGGAGATAAGTCTGCAGTGTACAAGAGGCCCCGATTCTGCAATAATGAAGAATCGCACACTCTGTTAGTATTCAGGTGTTAGTATTCAGGTGCTGCTGCTGCTACTGCTTGTACACCTGCTGCTGTGGCTGATTCTGTGGCTGTAGCTGCAGCAGAAGGCGTATTTGCATTTAGGTGCCGCCGTCTCAGCCACTTTAATCCATGTATTCTCTACATGTGTCTGAGCAGTCTAGCAGATCCATTCCCGCTGTGGTAGCACCTCGTGCCTTTGCATTTGTTTCTCCGTGCTACAGTCTAGGTGTTCAGCGACACAGAATGGAGTTGCTGACTTTATAGCGCGCCTCCACGAGCCTGGTGCAGGCCGTCAATGGAACTCCTCAGAGTTGCACAGAAATTCGAAAGAGCTCCAAATTGCGAAATAGGCAGTAACTGTACTGGGTGAGTGCTTGTCTTCCCTTACTTTCATTGCATCGATAGCTTCTTGCGCCTCTAACGACTCCATCGCGGCTCTGTTCTTCTCCAGCTCCAAAATGGTTTTACCGCTGGGGGAACCCAAGGGTAGCGACTTTGAGAAGCTCAGTGGGCAGGAGAGAGACAAACCCCACATGCGGCACTGAAGCTGAGGATGCAAGCAGCAGCAAGACGGCTAGCATTAATTACAGCAACTGAGCTTCTGCACAGTGAACGTCGAACGCAGCCAGCGTAACAACAAGCGGACATTGAACTGCAAGTGGCTCCCTAAGGGCTCCACAAGGATGTATGTGCTTTTTACAAAGACGCCGTGGGTTCTGCTGAAGATCCTCAATGCGCCGCCTAAGCACTGGCGAGAGACTCTCAACAGACTGCCGAAGTAGAACGTGTAGTGCCTCTCGTAATTTCAGCCAGGTTCCAAAAGAACCTTACGGGGCTTTCAGGGACCCCTAGAGGATCCCTGAATTCACTGCGATTCTTTTTATTGTGTGTATTTGTGTGTCTCTAACCATCTCCTCGACAAAGTCAAGCTGAAGAGAGCTCCGTGGGAAGTTTGACACAATAAAGCCCGAGTAGCCTGAACAACATCGACGCTGAAGACTAAAACCTTAATCCCAGACTCTAAGATCCCCGCACCACTTCGTTACCCATAAGCACTTGACAAGGCTCAAACGCATCTAAGCTGGACGACCTGGAGCAAATCAAGTTCTGATCAGAGCTTACATGCGGCACTGAATTTCTTTACTTTGTACCGCCATAATCATGAGCTAGAGGTTAGTCGTAGTACTCGGGGCTTATTGCTTTTTAAGTTTAAATGCTTCGAGCCAACAATTAGAGGGCAGCAATTTAGGGCTCAGGTTCTTGCCTTCTTTCTGGAGCTCCGCTACTTTGTCTATCAGAGCAGGGCAAGTCACAGCCGCGGAGAGGGATGCTTGAGAAACCTTGACTTTCACAGCACCAGAAGCAGCAGCAACAACACCTGGTGCTGCTGACACTGCGAGTTTATCCATGTCAATGTGAGCCAGGCCGAGAGAGCAGCACAGCCGTTGCAGCAGTGGCGCAAGGGGCAACCCCGAGTCGGCGAAAACGAACAAAAGAGAGGGCCGCAGCGCAGCAGCAAGAGCAGTACGAGTGCTTGTGCTGCTGCAGTACTTGACAAGCTGCAAAACAGTAGGAAAGGGCTCTACTTTTAAGCTCAGGTTGCATCGCTCCACTACTCCGTGATCTAAACCTTCAGTTGCAGGCCTTAATTAACTGCTTTCAACAACCGGGGGGCTTCGGGGCAAATGCCGCTTCTTTACGTCATGCGCAGTCACTCTTTAGTAAACTGGATTTAGGTATGTGACGCAGCGATCTTTAAATATTTCTCTAGGAGTCAACAGCAAGAGTTTATAGCCCCCTCGTTAGGGTGCACGGCTTCATTTGCAGCAGTTCCATACCCGGCCGGTGGCCTCTGCACGAGCGAGGGCTGTCAACGCGGCAGCTCCGGAGACAACTGTGCCTGTCAAGCCCCGCAACAAATATAAGTAGCTCAGCTGTTGCTAGGCCGTCCACTGCCTTTCTTGCATCTGGTACTGCCCATACCACTGACCACAGGGCTCCGCACCTTGTGGAATGAATGTGAGGGGCTGCACTTCGGAGAAAGCCCTTGTCAAGAGCCGCCAGTCCTTGGCTCCCAATTCGTTTTCTACGGATATCAGCATTGCATGGTTGCAGTTGCTGTTGCTACCACAAGTACTGCTGCTGCTGCAGGTCTTGCGCTGAGACAGCTTCAAATTAAGCAGGTCCCGTAGGGCCCTTGCAGGCTCCTCTGCAGCCACAGCCACCTTTAGCAGCTCAGCTGCGCAGAAGGAACCACAAGCTGTACTGCTTAAGGGGAATACACAGGAGTAGCAATATTAGGCAATGATACAGTTGGCGCGAATGGCAAAAAATTCAAGCAGCAACAACTCGTGCCATTACTGCGTCTTCAGGAGAGATGCTTCGCCCAGTAACACACCCGCAGATAAGATTGGGGCCGGATTTATTCCGGAGTGCGGCGGTTGATGTTCCGGCTGGTACCCTAGCAGCAATACCACACGGGGGCCGCCGGCACTGCATTCTGTGCTAGCATTCTGCCTACGCTGAGGATTCTGTCGATTTTGCTGCTGCTGCAGCTGCTGCTGCTGTTTCTCCGCAGCGTTCTTTCCTTCTTCTCCAGGGCGTACGCCTTAGCAGCAAATTCGCATCAGGAACAGCAGGAGCAGTGGCAGCGACGGTAGCTCATACAGCTACACGTTGACTTTTGTCATTTTTAGCACTTCCTCTTGCCCTTCACTTCAAACGCCAACCCTTCGGAGTCGCCGTCAAACTCTCTATATTAACTGCTGACTCGAACAGAAATGTTTCAGCCTTCAAATACTTGTTAAATCCCATAGGCCGTGGAGCTTACTGTTTGCAAGGTTAGCAGAGTTAGCCAAATCTTGCTTTAACTGTCTTTCTCTTTTGACCTCGTCTTCTATCCAATGGCCCATCCAGGCAATCGCCTTCAGGCCCTGGGGTCGAGGATTCTGCTCACACAGAGCCTTGAGGCACCTGCAACGAGAACAAATGTGAACGAATGTGTACACAGCCGCAGAAGAGGTAGCAGCAATATCAGAAGTTGCAGGCGTTACACTCGTAGCAACAGAAGCGGGACGTTTGGAATCTATGGGTAGCGCCGTCGAGGACTGGATTAGTCATAGCACTCGCAGAAGAAGCAGCAAGAAGTTGAAGGGCTGCGTGTTTCGCGCCTGCTTACTTCAGGAGGAGTGATTGGAGGTTTTGCTGCCCGGCGTTGGAGCCTTTCCACTCTCCTGGACTACATATCGTGAAGCAACAGCACTAGCACCAGGAAAAAAGAAACTGACAGCAGGCAGGGTAGCACCAGCGACAGCGATTACCCAGGTGCCCCTACCATGTAATCTCTTCAGAAGTTCTCTTTGCTGCGTGTCTCATGGGCAGCAGCAGCAGCAGTGCCTAGGTAGTGCTTACGCTGACGGGCCTTCGATTGCGTCTCCGGCCTCTAAAAGGTACGATGCTGCAGTGTTTGCTGCAGTAGGTGGTAGCAACAGTGGCAGCTGCCGGTCAGAACACACGGTAGCGAGTGCTGCTGCCTCCTCCTCGGTTGCTGCAGCAAAGCCAACACACCGGCGGGCCATTCCGCAGAAGCTGCTTGGTCGCGGCATCCCAACGGCAGCAGCAGCTGCTGCTGCTGTTGCTGCGGCTCTTTCTGCTCGCATCCTAGCTGCAAGAATTTCTCCACTGCTGCTGCTGCCGCCGTTTTCACTCGCCAAGACTCTGGCCGCCGTTGCTGCGGCAGCAGCAGCTGCTGCCGCTGTTACTGCTGCAGCGGCAGCGGCAGCTCCTAGAGGCATGGGGCAGCAGGACCCCAATAGATCCGAAAAGACACGAGGGGCTCCAGTGCGCGCTAGCAACAAGGTCCAGGCTGGCTGACCCTCAAGTGAAGACGAAAGAGAATCGTAGCCAGGGCGGTCCTGCCACTCCTTAAGCAGGCGTTGCAGCCACAGATGCAGTGCAAACATCAGAAGCAGGGTCAGCAACGGAAACGAGCATATCAGTAACAGCAGGGGAAATCGCTAAAGGAGCAAGTTGGAAGAAAACAATTGGAGCCCTCAAGGCGAAACTAGTAGCGAAAATAATGGCAGCGCCAGCAGCAGCATTGGCAGATGCAAAAAATCCCCACCTGACAGAGAAGGCCAACTGCCTCCTTGTCCAGCTTCATCTCTCTTTCCCACAGTATGTAGAATCCCCTCTGCTTGAGTAGCTTACGGATTTGCTGTTGCTGTTGCTGTGTTTGTTGCTGCGAATGGAGCTGCTGCTGTTTTTGCTGCATGTGATCTTCTTGCTCCAGGTGCAACTGCAAAAGCGGCAGTTCCTTGATGAGGAAAACAGCAAACGTGCGTTGAGGTCGGATGAGGGGCAACGGATGCGGAGGACTTCCGAACAACAGTTCTAAGAAACGCGCAGCTTCGGCTCGGTTTTTCGGTGCATGCTGCAGGAGCCGAATAAAATGCAGAAAAATAGCATCTCCACTAACAGAAGCAGCAATACCAGCAAAACCTCCAGAGAAAAACATTTTAGCGGCGACACCAGATGAACTAGCAAAACCAGTTCTTATCTGTGTTAGGGCTGCTGCTAAATGAAGGTATGCATCAGCAAGCACGACATCTAATTTGCCGCAGTTGGTGTCGTGCTGTAGTTTCCATTCTCACAAATCCGTTTCTGAGCAAAGAAGAACCGCAAAGGGCTCGGAGGCTATTGGGGCGGAGTATGGCGGCTCTTGCGGGATCAGGGGGCCCGCAGAGCTGCCGAAGTCGACGGAGGGCATCGTAGCCCTCCACAGCGATGGCCTCTGCACATGGTAGCACACACAGATGTCTGTTGCTGCTGCTGCTGTTGACAATGCCTTATCATTTGTTGTGGTTGCTGCTTTAGCTGTTGAGGGGGATGGTAGCACTGGCAATGCTGCAGCAACGCCCATGCTGGCTTGCTATAATCATTCTACGGCTGGTGCTGCGTTTAGTATTGCTGCTGCTGCTTGTGCCAATAATGGTGGTAGTGACAACGAAAAGGACTTCAACAGTTCTGCGGAAGTTCAAATGTAAGAGTAGCTTAACAGCTGCGTCCGAGCTATGAAACAGCTGCGTCAACTGTTATTGGAGTCGCTTTTTTTGCTACTGATGCTGCCGGGCGCTTGACTCACAGTGCAGCAGACTTACTGCATCCAGGGGATTCGCACAGAAAGTCCTCCATCTCACGGTAGTAGGGCTGCAGGCGCAAAGTCAAAAACAAGAAAGCGCACCATCATAGCTCTTCAGGCAGCAGCTCCAGGTACGCATCATGGGCATTTGCTGCAACAAAAGTAGCAGCAGTATTTAATGGTCTGCATAATCCTCAGCGGCAGCAGAGTATCGAAGATTCGAGGAGGCACACAAAATCCGAAAGTCCTTTAGGCTCCTGACATCCGTTGGAGCTGCCCCAGCGCCCCTGAGTGGCCTGCGGAGTGCTAGTGCGCAGTCTTTCGAAGCCCCTGCTTATGTGCAATGCTTGCTGCAAGTGCCCCCGCGAGGTTTTCGGTGTCTGCATGCGTGACAGTACCTATACGCTATGCTGGACACAGGGGCCGCCATAAATTAACTGGGAGCTCCTGCGGGTGTGCGTTGTCAACCTTGGAGCACCCCAGAACTGCTTGTCTGTTTGTCGTGGTGGCGCTTGAGGTGTGCAATGGATAGTTCAGAGCACCTGTGATAGTGTATCGTGGGCTTCATCTGTTGCGGAAGCTCTGCATGTGACTTGTTATGGTTTTAAAAGCGGGGCAGAAGAGCCAAAACTGCAACGATTCTATGCAACCCAGGGTTTCACGCACTTTGCTACGGAGAAAGAGGGTTATGTACGTGTTCAGAAGCGTAGACTTTGGACTTTATTGGGAATTCATTGGTGGCCAACCATTGGCTTGTTGAGCCCAGTGTGGGTGACGGCTTATCAGTTATGGTTTTGAGTTTGATATTCTAAGCTGTAAGCACCTTCTCAGTTTGGCCGGGGAACAGCTTCTGTATATCCCTTTTCCTGGGCTGAAAATTAATGGATGCCAAAATTGTGAGGCCCTCTTCCAGCAGCAGCACCTCCAAAGCCTTCTCAGGACACGACTCCCCACGCGCTTCCGCTGCTGCAACAGCTGCTGTCACGTTGGGCTTTACCAGCAGCACAGAACGCTCTACTTGAGACGGTTTCACTGTAACACAAGAAGCAGTGAAGCAAGAGCTGCAGTGGTGATACGGCCATGGCCATCTTTGCGATCCAGAAAAACAGTGCCACAAATTGCACGAAGTGCAGCAATCCACGCAGCGGCAGCAGCAACAAGCGAAGCAGCAACTGTAGCAGCAGCAACAGCTAACCTGAAGGGTAGAAGAAGAGTACATCTCTTTCAAAGGTCCATCTGCAAGTGCTCAGATAAAATTGCTGAGGTCCAGTGGGTCCAATGCAGAAAGCTTTGCGAAACCTGCAGAAGGACACTGTTGTACACTTAATGGTGAATAATTACTAGTTCGAAGTGCCAGGGCTGAAACGTCAAGTTCGAAGCTCTAGTACGTGAAAAAGGGGCTCAACTGAAACGTTCAGTGGTATGTGTTTGCTTTTCTCTCCTTGCTTCCCCTTTAATGCTCATTTAGTTTGCGCTTCTGTCCCCTGCACTTATTTTATGAAGCTCCTTTGGGGCAAGTATCTGAGGATGTTAGGCGCTGTTTGTCTTTTTCTCTGGTTATCGGCCGCAGTGTCTCTCTCTTGAGTGTTTTTCTCTGCCTTCTAATGTCTGTCGCAGTCTGCTTCCTTATGTCCCCATTTGCCTGTTCCTTTTTTTTCATTCTCTCCCTGTGTTTGGCTGTGTCTGTTTCCGGGCCAGATTTTCTGTTCATGCTTCCTTGTGTGAATGCCTCGTGTCTAGTGGATTCATGGCTTCCGTTTTTCTCCACAGCTTTGCTTCTGTAACCATATCTCTACAGCAGGCTAGGGATGGCAGGTGCGCTGAGGGGCCTCACGCTTCAGCCAAGCCGGTTTCATCTTCTTCTTGCGTGTCATCATCGGTATCAGCTTTTGCTGCAGCAGCAGCTGCATCAGTCGTTGACGTAGTAGCTAGTGAAGCCGCAGCAGCGAGAGACTCAGCCAGCCGCTTACGCGTCTTGCCTAGAGGGTGCTGCAACAAAATGATGCTTGACAAACCCTGTGTAAGCTCTTCGATAAACTGGGAGCGAATCCATCCTTCAGGAGTTTCAGCAAAAGCTCCATTCGCCTCTTCCTGCAGCAGCAAAGCCCTGAACCCGAAGAGTTAAGCCCTAGGCAGGATTTTTGGCTCCGACGTGAAGCAGTTAGATTGCTGCTTCTCTCTTGTCATAGCAACAGCCATCAATCGTAGCCCTCTTCTCTCAACTCGAATAAGAAGACTAAGCAGAGCCTTGGCCTTGACCCATAAATCCCAAGCATTAAAGTTTGCAGTACCTCAGTGAATGCGACGGTCTTTGTCCTGATTATGTCATAGCACATGTCTAGCAGCAGCTCCTCCACCTCTGCTGCCTGAACAAAAGCCCAGAGTTCTCGTGTATAGTCTGTGCAGTCTAGCCTTCATGGCATGTTTCCTTGTGGCGCATACAGCTATCACGGGCTCCCGATGTAGGGAGGCCCTCAAACATCAATAGGCGTCAGCAATTCGATCAGACCAGCTCTGGTGTATGTGCAGCACAGTTTGAAAAATATTTGTCAGCGAACCAGGAGGTAAGTACAACTCTATTAAGTGAACTCTATACGCATGCCAGCTCGCCCGTTGAAATACCCAACTAAACTAGCGTTTGGCGGCTCTTTTGGGCTTGTGAGCATGTGAATTGATCGCAGCAGAACTAGCAAGCGACGGCTATGCGCAGCGCTATACCTTCTTCTGTCGCAGAATTTCTGGGAACAGGAGCAGCACAGCTCCATCTCCCGGTCGCGCCGCCATGGCCAGGGTAGCCTCAATTACTTGCAGTTTGCCCACTCTTAAAATGAGTACTAATCAAAACACTATTAGGCAGGTACGCGAGGAGATAAAGGCGTGTGCGTGTTTCTATTTGCTGCCGTTTCCGTTGCAGTCGAACGTGGGGCGGCTGCTGTTTTATGCTGAGTTGACAGCCGTTTCAAGCACTCCTGAATTCATCAAAGAATGGATACATGCAGTATTGAGGCCCCCATGAAGCTGTGACTTCGTCCTGCGGTGACCGCCATAGACGGTGAGGGGGCTGGTAACCCGTAGATCACACGTAAGCGCTAACTCAAGGTTCTTCGGAGTTGGAATATGTATCAATATTGGCAATCATAGTGTTCATTTTTATGCGGGGCCTGCAGCTTGACAGCTTTTACAGCAGTTCCAGATCTGGTGTTGCACTCGCATGCAGCCCCGGTAACGGTTAGAACCGCTCGAATGCTGGTTTCCGTGCAGCAGCGATGCCACCCCGTCCTTTACGACTTCAGGATTCACTTTAGACGAACACTAGCTGCTGGCTGATCAGCCGTATTTTGTCCTGTGCAGCCGTCTCATGTGCAGTGCCCATCGAGTGCGGCCAACAACCAATGAGCGAATGGCCAGCGGAGGCGTCGCCTGCTCGTGGCTTTACATAATCTGAAATGAAACAAGAGTGTTAACACGTATAAGGGTTAATCTGAGTCCGTAAACATGCAATAGCGAGACCTAGTTCCGGTCGCACGCTACAGAGATACAGTAGACGTCTACACATCTCCTGAAAGCCTTTCGATTCGCTGCTCTGTCCGAAAGGCAAACAGCAGCCCTTAGGCATCGGGCGGCATGAGGAGGTTCATGTTGCTGTCTCCCTTGCCAGCTGAGAACGGCTGGCAGGAGCGCGGGGACTGGAACCGTTTGAGTATAGATTGATTGTAGCAAGAGCAGTAACCCTAGCAGCAACGACAGCCGCGGCAGAAGAGCATGAAGCCTTTGTCTGATGATAGCACCGGCAGATGTGGTCTGGCGGGGGGACGTGGGGGTGACCTACGCCGACCCTGAAGAGGTGCTTGAGCCAGGCGCACTGACCGTGGCGTATCCCCTATACTCGGTTGACTCTGAGCTGTCTACAGAGAGCTCTAATAGGCAGTGGACGTGTCGGCTTTTGCCATGTCTTCCGCCGCTGGGGCTAGTTGCTGCTTCTGTGGGCCTGCAGCTGGGCGCAGCGCTGCTTTTATTGGCAGCCGCCACCAACGGCATGAGACTTCACGGGCTTCTCCCCAACATTCTGGACCCTGAGCTGCCGTCTATATACATTTACGTGCTACAAAGGGACCCCAAGACATACGCCTGGTGTTTGGCGTTTGTGTTGGTGGCTTTGCTCCTGATCTTTACATTCGCTGTTGCGGTTGCGGGCGCTGTTGCGATCTACCTCGGCTGCTGCAAATGGGCGAAAGTCCTTCGCGCCCTTAGCATAGTGCAGTCCCTTATTTGCCTTGCTACCACTGTCACTTGTGGCATGTGGCTTTGTGGCTACGCCGTGGCTCAGTCTGCCCAGCGGTCCCCTGCAGTTGTCGCCTTCATGCTCCCCTTTAACTATGGCACGCTGCTCTTTGTTAAGACTCACGAGCACATTATCAGAGCAGCAGGCGCCATGACAGCAGCAGCAACAGCAGCAAGCGCAAGAGCAGCAAGAGCCACATGCCATGACACTGCAGCGGGCGCCGCCACGTACGTACATCCACAAAATGCTCACAAGCTAGACAAGCCTCTGTAGCGTAAACCAAAGTTTACAGTAGTTTTCTACTTTAACTCCGTCTTAAAGCGTAATGAGCTTCTCCGGACTTTCTAGAGACCCCAACTCAAGTAGCTGACACTCCGCGGATATGGCTGCAGCTTAAGGAGAAGGCTTCAGTCGCTTACGGTTTACAAACTGGAAATTACATTTTCCGGTATGTGCTTTTTGTGTCCAGGACGTGTTTCGCGTTGTTAGTGTCATGGGCAGTGACTTTTCTGCTGGTGCAGGGGGCAATAGGGGGCCTGGCGCCCCCCGTGTTTGGAGCTCCGGCGGCTTTGCTATCTGTTGCCTGTCTCCTATGCTTGAATTTTGGATGCTTGGGGAGATGGCAATTCGCAGGACTGATGGGGCTGTTTGGAGCGGCGGCGCTGGTTGCGGCCGTGGCTTGGGCAGCCGCCAAAGAGACATATGTCGTCAACTATAGCAACAGGCCCCACAAAGAGTCGTCGCTGCTTGCCCAGCTAAAAACCTTGGTGAATTTAGCTCAGTGGGCTACTGCCTTGGGCCATGAAGTCGGCGTGGCTGGCCTGGTGCAAATGGCAGCAATGCAGGTCTTCCTTTGTCTCTACCCCGCAACACTCATGTTTGCTCGCGCCTTCGGGCCAAAAATTAATGCTTACCGAAGAAAGAGGAGGCAGAAAAAAAGAGACAGGGAGCTCTGCGAGGCTGTTGCTCACGCTGCAGCACACCAGCCACACGCTCACGCAGTGATCGAGACGTGCGGTACGCCAGTGATCACCACACCGGTTGGGCCCCCTCCACCCCCGGCCACATTACCACTGCCTCCCCAGTGCCTTCCTCCCCAAAAAATACTCGTGCCGCCCCCGCCTCATGCAGTATTGCCCTAGTGTCAGAGTAAAAAAAATTGAGGAAGACTCTGGCGAGGGAAAAAGGGGACCAATAGGTTCAGGCTAGGAGGGGCACGTAGTTTCCTGCCTGCACGCTGGAGACAGGTTGATCTGAGTCCCGGTGCAGCCTGAAGCTCTAGGGGCAGCCACAACCCACGAGAGCGTCTACTATACAAATCATAAACTCTGAACACTTTTTTAATTCACTTGAAATCATTTAAAAAGTCAAGCACATGTGGTTTTGGGCAGGAAATGCCTGAGGGAACCGGAAAGGGATCCGTTTGGGTATCGCTAGTAAAGGGTTCTGTGGGACAACACTTATCAGGAGGGTCTTGGGGCTTCGAGTTGAGACAGGCAAGTGGGCCGTCACTGCCGAGACAGCAGAACTAAATGCTACATTTATTTTAGGGGCAACAGTTGCAGCTGCTTTTGTTGCTGTTGTTAATCCTGCAATTACAGCCTCAAACGGTCAAGGCACGTGCAACCGTTAATACGAAAACATCAGGGGAAACTCAGGGTCAGACATCTGTGAGCGATGCTGCTACTGCAGAAAGTTACTACTGCCAATGAAGCCAAGCTTTAGCTGCTGTAATTTAATTAGTATCGTTGAAACCTCTGCCGTAGTGGCACGACCTTTGCTAGGCTCGGGCAGGCATTACCCTAGTATTGCGCAGCAGCATCAGAGGCAATAGCAGGCGATGCACGCTGAAACAGAGGACTATCGTCTTGCCTACTCCCACCGCCCAACAGTAGGGCTGAGAAGAGAACGCGCTCAAGTGGGGAGCAGGAAGGCAGGTGCCACCATGGTCCAAGTGTCATGAAAAGGCCTGAAAAAGCACTGAGAAACACAGAAGTAATCGCCTCAATATGAGCAACGCGTTATTCATGAACGCTGAACACAGTAGCACCATTCAGTTTCAGTCAGACGGAAAAACCCGCCGACACAGCCCTCGATAATAAACACGGCTGATTTAGTGCGATTGTCTAAACAACAAATATCGGAAGCAAAAGGTGAAGATAGCAGGCGAAAAGCTGCAGGAAGAGCAGTGGCAAAAGCAGTAGCTCCTGTACGACTTTTCTGTGGACAGCACGGCGGGCCAGTGGCCTCAGTGAGAGCACCCCCTTCAGCATCCCTCCCCTTTTGTAAAGCTGTAAAACAAACTTTAAAAATGTGTGAAGCCTGATTTTCTATAAAGCAAAACACTGCGGAAAGTGATTATGCTCAGACGACCGCCTGGGCTCGGCCGCGACTCTCTCCAAGCGGGACGCCCTTTCCGCGCCCAACGCTACTGCTCCAGCACCTGCTGAAGACAAACACAAAAGCCTAGAAACAAACAAAATTAAATAAAATCGTGTAATATTATTTTCCATTTCTGTTCTATAGTTCACCAGAAACTGTTGCACGCCTTCGGGACCCATAGACTCCATTGGACTTGGAGGCGGCAGCGGGCGAGGCGGTCTGTTGAGGCCTCAGACCTTCTTGGTTCCTGCATGCATGCATTTTCACCTAGTAACCGATTATAATATTGCCATTTTTACAATTTAGATTTAATCGGAACAGACAGACGAAACAAGTCTTCTAGCCCCTCACTTGAGTAGCCTGCCGGCTGCTGCCGAGTCTCGCCGTGTAGTGCATGTGCGGTGGCTTGATGATCCACAGCCCACAAGACGCTTACCCACAAATATTATATCACTGAATACGAGCTCTAATATTCCAAAGCAGCTGAGATTGGGGGCGCCGGGAATTTTCCTGGGGCCAAACTGCGTCCAGGCATGCGCTGCCGACTGCCTAAGAGGGAGAAGGAGGCACAGAACGAAACAGCAATAAAAAAGTTAACTCGGATACAGCATGTTCGGGCTTATTCTAGGACCTGCAGCTCTCTTTCAGCTGCTTTATCGGGCGAATGGCGCGGGTGAATATTGAGCTTAAGGAGCCTTCTTCTCATTAGCTTAAAAGCCTGACTGTTCTTGGAACCGCTTTCGTTCTCTAGGTTATTTATCTTTTTTATCTCTTCTTTACTTACCACTTCTCTTTCCCGTTTGTGCCCTCCACCGTGTTGGCGCTTCTTCCTCTGCCCGCATCTCCATTCGTGCTTGTTTGTCTGCATTTCAAACTTTTATTTTTTCTTTCCGCCCGCTCCCAATTCATATGTTCTCTTGGTTTTCCCGGTGGATCTTCGAGCCTTTGCACGTACTCCTCTCTTATTTTTTCTGCTGTTTGATCCCCATTACGGGGCTAGGTATTTCTATTGGCCATTTTCTGCCACCACATGAAGCTGTGCCTCCTCATCCGCAGTTTTCACTCGTTTCCTTTTCGTTGCAGTGCCCTCTGAGCTGCGCATGTTTCTGCAGAAGGAGAGCCTATCCCGACCTATAGCCCCACGCGGGCCTTGGAGCCTCATGACGCCCCGAAAGTCCCCTTCTCTTCTCCACGCTACCAGAGGCCTTTTTCCCTTTCAGAGAACCCAGTGCCGTAAGTCTTTTAGGAGGTGGAGCAGTTTGGCACAAACGTATGGGATCATCAGGGGCCCTCTTTAGATCGCGGTGTGTGTGCACGCCGGGGCAATTATTCCCCTGGACGCACTAGTGGAACTGCGGTTCATCCCTTGCTTGTGCTTTTTCTAGGGAAGAGGAGGGGCCAAGCTGCTTCTGGTGGCTGACGGTCGACAGGCCGGAGCCAGGCGAGGCCTTGCTTAGGACCACTAGTCATTGGCAACACGGCCAAGATCAACTGCAACAACCTCAGGAATCACAAGAGCAGCAATGGCGCAGGAGATCTCTTCACGTAAGGCTGCACGGTAAACCCGTGGGACAAGCAGCAGCTCAGTCATTGCATCGCAGGGGGCAGCGCCAGTGGCAGGAGGAGCAGCGGCACAGGAAATCTCTGCACTTCAAGGTGCACCGAGGCTCGCTGAACCCAGTAAATGGCGAACAACTGTTACAGCAGCAGAAACAGAAGAAGGAAACGCAGCGACACCGGCAATCTGTGCACTTCCAGTTGCACTCTAGCTCTTCGGAGTCAAACAACAGCGACACAGGAGGACCATTGAAGGAGCAGCAAATGCAGCGGCAACGTAAGTCTGCGCGTTTACAGCTTCATGTCGACCCGCAAGATTCCGACACAGACATCCCTGTGGAAGCAGAGCAACAGCAGCAGCAACCCGGTGATACTCCCGAGTTTATCGACTCCGAAGAGAGCGACTGGAGCGACGGGGAGACGAGCAGAGAACAGGGGCCTTCAGCGACAGAAGATGAGGCCCCTGCTCCTGTAAAGGGACCCGTTGACTTGCGAAACCTCGAAGGATCATCCTTACCGGCGTCAGTTGTGAACAAAGCGGTGAGCACGGTTGGAGTTATCCGCACTGGTCTGTGTGAGCACGCGAGCTCGCTTCATAGGAAGCTGGAGCTACACCTGATAACTAAAAATCATCTTATGAGTTGCTGCATATTTTTCCAGATTACAAAGATCAACAAGCGATATGAAAAGTGCGGGGAGACAGCCAGGAAAATGACACGCTCAGGTGAGTCTGCTCTGACTGCCTTTATCACGTCTGCCCCGCGACCCACAAGCAACAGCAGCACGAAGTTTACGGGGAGCAGCAGAGTATGTATCGGGGCTTGTCTGCAGAGGAGGAACTCATCAGCAGTGTCGTTAGTCGCTGGGAGCAGGCGGGTTTCCCGCCTTTCAAGATTGAAGGGATGACAGTAAACCCGTAAGGTTCAAGCGTCTGCCGCTACTTCGCTCCTGCATATATGCTCTGCCTGTTGCACAAGACAGTGCGCCCGCTTTACTGGGAGCCGGGTCTCTCAAAACTCCTTTTAGCGCCGGCATTTTATTGTGCACCCAGGGAAGAGCAAGGAATCATGCTACACAACGAAGCCTTGACTCCTAATCTCGTGAACGTTTTCTTGAAGGCCCTCGAGGTGAGCGCCATGTCACAGCCTTGTAAATGCATCAAAGTCGAGCTGCAGCTTCACACGCAGGCCGCAGCTGCCGCTGCACACCCAACTGACAGTTCTTCGGTTTCTGTGAAGCTGTGCTGTTGTGCATGTGGCCTTGCAGATCAACAAGACACCCCTGACGACGCCAAAGTACATGTGCTGCCTCATAGCTCCCCCCCATGAGCAAATCAGTGATTTTGAGTCATGGGGGGGCTGCCTCACTCTATGAGGCAACTTGCGCAAAGTCCATTGACTTGTATTCAGCAGTACGGCTGTGGCTGGCTGCGGTGTCGTGTGGTGTTCCAGGAGGAGAAGACCAAAGCAGACAAGCCTGACTGTGGAGTTGGCTTCAAAACTTCTCTCCCCTGCTCTGTCCCCTGATGACAGCGAAGCTATTCTGGTGAGGGAGCCCGCTTAGGTGCAACACCATAGGCTCTGAAAGTCGTCAATGCGTGAAGAAAATGCTTTACGACGGCTGCTGCAGGTTCCCCACATAGAGTATAAAACTCCCAGCTCGTGGCTCAGAGCCTTTCTGTAATGGGTGTGTCTGCTATCTTTCGGGCTGCAGGAAGCGTTGGAGACCCGCGGGGTTCTGGAAGCCCAAGTAACTGTTTTGCCCTTACTGAGCGGCTCAACGCATTATTCAGCTCTCATTCTGGACACCATGTGGGGTTTCAGGCTCCCAGAGCTCTAGAAATGACTCATTTGACTTTGCGTTAGCTGGTTCATTTCAATCATTCTAGTGACAACCTTCTTGTCTATGCCCACTCGCGGTTCTACTCAAAGTCTCAACATCGTCGCCAACAGTCGTCAACATAAGAATTTGCATGGCCTTCTGTATCTACGCCGCGATTTAAGCTTCCACTAGCATTTTTCTGCCAAGAAATGCATCTGCTGCTACACTTTCTGTTGTTGGGGATCACTGCCACCTGCGATGGAATTCTCCTCTGTGCTGCTGCAGCACGGGCCCCAATGCGGTGCTCTTCTTGCTTCGTTGGTTTGACCCTTTCGGACAGCCAGGAAAGATTCCAGTGCAGCACCTGCTGCCCCTGCTCAAGCGGCTTGCAGAGAAGCACGGTAAGGCAGGACAGCCAGTTCTGGGAAATCCTCAGTTGGGGTGACCCATGCGCATTCACTGCAGGCATTATAACTGCCTTGCTATTTGCTTTTATACGCGTAATTTATGCCTTTAATATAATCATTCGATACCTTTCCGATACCTTTCCATATGCTGCCAATCTGCAGGCCTCAGGGTCTACAGCCTCTATCGTACCAACTTTGATTCGGAGGTCTGATTGCCTCAAATTCGCCCCCTTCATGTCACTATTAGTCTTTTTTATTTCTTTAGATTGTTCTACATGGCATTTTGCCGCATATTTGCGGCAGGCATTCTTCATAGCACTACCCTTAAGGCTGTCGCGGCTGTTTCTCCGTGTGTTCTTAGCCGTCTATCGCTGCTCAATATGACGAGAGAGACACAGGAGTCCTCTGCTGCATGATAGCAACACAGCTGGCTGAGGGATGCTCACCCATGGCAGAAGAAGGCGACGCCTTATACTTCAGGAAACAAATGGTAAGGAATATCAGGCATAGCAGCGGCCCCCAACGCCTTTAGTAAGCTGAAGAATCCTTCTGTATCCGCTGGCTAGCAGGGTACATGAAGGGCCTGCAAGCGAAGAACAGTAGTGCATGAATTTCCACTGCCCGTCGCACGAACACGTGGAACTTTTCACTGGAGGTCACTACTGCTTGGACGGCCTCTGCAGACACATACAGCTCCGCTTTGAGCCAGCAAAAGGAGAACCCTGAAAGAAAGTAGAGAAAAACGCCAAGGGATGGCGGGTTGCAGCTTGTTATTTTACACGTCTGCCTCTGTTTTGCTGTTTGCTTGTTTCAGCTTTTGAAGCTTGACTTCGCGAGCCGCTGGAAACGGGCAGCATCTACAGAACGAGGCGAAAGTAAAAGCTAAATTTGTTTTGTGCCACTTAGAGCTCGCTTGAAACAGCCTTTCTGCGCCTTTCATAGTGAATTGGAGGCGATGCATCAGATGCACTCGTCAAAGCTGGTTGAAGCCCATGCCTTTGGGGTACCTGTTGGGCTAGGGCAACACTACGCAATGCTGCCAAGCGGTTTCAGCGGCCTGAATCGTGCCTTCTAACGAAATTGAACCTATAGATAGGAGACAGACTAATTGCAGGGGCTGGCAGTAGCTTATGACCATTGTGGCAGAGCTACTCTGCTGTAGCAGCGGTGGAGACCGGCTAAGACAGGGAGCTGAAACCTTTGATAATGCACAGGTTGAAAGGCGGAAAATGGCTTTGGGGACAAGTAGTTCATCCACGTCTACGCCATTGCATCACGCTCGGCATAGAGACGGCCGCATTGCTAGATTTATGCGGGGGCAAGAACCGCTGGCTTTGAAGTATGAGCATATTTTATAGTCTACACCAAGGCTTAATTATGCTTATTTATACTCATGTGCGTATCACTGTGAATGTGTATAACCTTACATGTGGCGCGACAAGCCTCAGCTAGAGTGGGGCAGCTAAGGCGCCTCGTGTGGACGTTCCCCGCCGTGGAAATAGAAAAATGCAGAGCACAAACAAATAAATGGCAATTATGCGGTCAACGAACTCCGCTTATATGCAAGAGACTAATTTGAATGAACAGACGTACCGGCGCCTTGGCCTTGGCCGACAGCTGCCTCACAAGCACCGCCGAAGGGGAGACCAATGGGCAATCGCTGACTTGGCAGCAATGTGTCATTTCAGGGCCCCCAATTGACTGTTTCAAGCCTTTCATGCAGGCTTTCAAAATTTTGGTTTTCAAGAGACCCATTATCGATAATTCGGACCCGAGAGTCCCCTCGAACATTCTGCATACAGCCAGCTAACGACGGGCAGCCGATATCCTGCAACCGTGGAATCTCGCCAATGTCCGTGATTCAGCACTGGCACTTCATTCTAACAACGAAAGAATAAATGCGCAGGATGGGCCTCGGCCAAAAGACAGCTGCAAGTTGCCCATTAGCCGATACCCCAGGTGCCTACAAAGCTAACGTTAACCCGTTTTTGCCTCCATTTGCTAGACTCACAGCACCTTGAACGCAGTCTACGCAGCAGTAGCACCATCCTGTACAGCTTCCAACGTCAGCAGGAGACAGGTGGAGGCCTGTTTTGGGAACGAGGCCTGCAGCCAGCCCTGGTTCTGTGTTTCCCCAACCGTTGCGATGGACGTTATACGACATGAGCTTGAGGAGGCGACTGAGAAAAACTGATTTTTGGGGGAGTATTTGGAATGAAATCAACGGAGGAGGAGCCCAAGGCACGAAAACAAGTATCAGAGGGACGAGAAGAGGAAGCAAAGCGAAAGGGAAAAGATATAAAGAGAGAAACTAGGGCTGCAGGCTCGAAAGAAACAAAGGCCTCATGTCGACAGACATGGAGGACCCAAAGGCGCCGCTGAAGGGCTCTAGTGACAGCAGCTGCGTTTCCGTTTCTCGTGAGTATGACTGTCTATATCAGTTGGAGCTCCGTTACTGGTCGCTGGGTACCGTGAGGAAGGTTCTGCGTTTTGCGGCCTGCGTGGCCCTTGCAGGGCAGCTTGCTGCAGCCTTCTTCTGCTTTGTTGCCTCGCCTTGGGCGGAATCAACAGACAAGACGCAAAAACTAAGACGCATAGCATGCGTGTTGCTCACCACCTTCTCGGGCTGTTGTCTCCTTTGCTCCATTACCGCAGTACTTGTCGCCTGGGTCGTAAGTCAAGCATGCACGCAGCAGCAGATCTAAAAACGCTGGCACCTGACCTCTCTTGGTATTAACTGGCCGCGTTGCTCTCTTGCTAGCTTGGCAAGCTGCTAACTACCCAAGCAGAGAAGCAGATGCACATAGCAGTGCTGTGATGAAGCAGGCAAAGCCAGAAGTAAAAGCTTGACGCCAAATCCACACTTAAACAGGCACTGGCTAATTTTTACACTGAAGTGCAAATGTACAGGCATATGCGCACGCAGAGATACGCGCAGCTAATAATACATATGTAGATTTACATGCACGCAAGTGTGCCTGTATATGCATGCTTGCACTCATGCATGCGTGCATGCGCACACACTATACTTTCTCTTGTTTGCGAAATGCGCCCAGAGAGCATTGCAAGACTGGGAATGCGCTGTGCATCTGCCTCAGACGAGCTGCCGTGCGCAAGTGGGTAACGCCTTGCTATTTGTGGGGACTCACCTCAAGGCCATTGTCTTTTCATCTTGTGCTTGCGCCGTCTCTGCGGCGTTGCTGAAGTGTATCGGCCTCCAATCATCTCCATTAAGTTTGGCGGCCGCTGTGGCGTCTTGCAGCCTGCTCTTGCTGCTGTTCCTGCTACAGCCGGTTCCCCTCGGGAAGCTTTGGGCCATTTGCGTTGCAGCGGTGTTGCTCTTCTTGGTGGGTACCCAGCGGCTTTTGGCTGCTCTGGCAGTGGATTCGCTGCCGCGTGGTTGGTTCACGTTTGTGGGTTACAGTCACTTGTGCTGGTTGTCTCCTTTAATTGTAGCAGCATTCCTTTCTGCTATGTTGCTGTTATCCCACTACCTCCAGCTGTTATTGGCCACTGCCCGTGGCGGTTACTATATCTTCTGTCCTCCCAACCCTCACCTGCACAGCTTAGACACTTTGGCCGCAGACGCTGTGTCTGGCAAACCTCTGTCCCTGTCACCCCGCAAGCCCATCTACCCGCCTTCCCCGGACACCCTCGTCCAACTCTTAAGGGAGAAACTTACTCCCCGCCGCCTGGGCCCTGCTATGGCTCAACAACGAAGAACTGTAGAAGCCCCTGCTGTTATTGCTGAGAGACCGAAGGCCTCAGAAGCCCAAGATAATGCCACAGGAGAAGAAGCCCCACTACAAAAACGGGTGCCTACGGAGGGCGCATGGCTGGTGGCCCTGTGGCTCAGAGGCCATTTTTTCATAGCAAGCTTTGGGGCCCTATGTGTTGCGACGTCGCTTCTGTTATTTGCGCTTGGTGCCGACTCAGCAGCAGCACAACACGGCCTCGCGGGCCCTGCTGCATTTCAAGACATCAAACGGCTGCTGCTGCCGCAGCCAATTAGGCACCAGCAGGAAGAGCACCTGACGAAAGTTTCATTTGTCGCATTTCAAGCCCATGAGTCACTAGAGTCTGACGGCGTGCGGGCGTTGCGCTCTCCCCAACAGAAACAACAACGGCAACAGCTGCCGCAGCAAAAGCAGGAGAACATTATGGTGCCGCTTTCAGCGGTGCGGCTCCGCCGGAAGCTTCAGCGAGGGCATTTTCAGTCCAACGCACTGCAGCCATCACACCCGTCCTCTGGTCTTCTTCCTGCTGCTGGTCTTGCTTCTTCTGAGCTGCAGCTAAGGAACCCCAACTTGTACGCAATGCCTGAAGAATCCTTCTTACAGCTGCGACTTAACAAAATTTCAAGCAGCAGCAAGGAGGAGCAACCGGGCTCGAAAACAGCAGCTGCTTTTTTGCTACTGGCGTTTGTGTTATTGCTGCCTCTCATAGGCACAAGCCTTGGCGAATGGTGTGAAGGTAAGATGCAGCAGAAGTAGTGCGATCCCTTTTTTTCAGGCGATGCTCTCACTACAGCTTCATATGCTTGTGAGCTTGCGCCGCCTGTCTTTTGTAGATCTCTTCTTTGCGCACATGGTGCTCATCAAGAGGAACCCCTGGATGATTTTGCCTCCCCCAGTGCTCGTTATACAGCCACACCAGGCAGAAGCGGTGGCTGCTACGACACCAAAAGCAGAGACTGATCGCACGAACGTTTCAGATCCACTGCTATACATGGCTCGAGAAAGAATGAGGCACCAGAGTTTCCTTGGCCTTGATGCGCAGCGCGAGGAGGGAAAGCAGCCGCAGCAAATGCAACAACAGGGCCAGCAACAGCAACCTGTGGCACAAGAAGAAGACGAGGAGGAGGAGCGGGAATCAAAAGAGGGACAGCAACCACAGGCTAGGTCCCCGCTCCAGACCGGCACGCCGTAGCTTCGCAGTCCTTACAGCAGCCGCAACCGCAATTGCAGCACCAGTGTGTGCCTGGAATGGGAATTAATTAAGCAGGCGTTGTTTTAAGATTTAGCTTTGAATAAGTGTTTACGACAACGTTTTGGGCACAGCAACTGAGTGTCTATCTGTTTTATACTTGAATATGGATTTTAACGTGTTTTATACATACACCTGTATTTAGATGTACTTACTCCGGTTGGCTGGGCTATTTGCAGCTTAGCTGTGTAACTGAGAAAATTGAGGTTGCAAATGAACATACTCGTTTTGTATGTTGCAGCTGCTATGCAAGCTGAGCTTCCCATCTCCAAACTGCAGGGACTGCACCACAACAAAAGCAGAGGACTCATCCAAGGTCGAGCGCACTCTCATGCTGCGTAGCGTAGTGCGCAGCAAGCGCAGCTGCTGTGCTGCTGCTGTTGCCGCTGGTACATTTCCACAGAGCGATACAAGCGTCAGCCGTAATTGGTCATAAATTTTCTAGGCTCTAGGTGCAGGCTGCATTCCTTGCTGCAATTTTCAAGTTGTAGTTTTAATTCCTTCAACTAACACTTCCAAAGGAAAGAGAAGTCAGAAGTAGGAGTATCAAGAGGCGGCAGAATAACGCGCATCGCCGTATCTCCCTTAGACGCAGCTAAAACGCATCACCCTTTGCTAAGGCTGCCTTTCAACGCTCAAGGGTTTCGTTGCTTTGCAGCAGATTGGCTGACCTTATCTGAGTGCTCACTAATTCTGCTCCTCCAGAACAGCAGTGAAGAGTAATTGCTACGCAAGCGTCTCTACCACCCGTTAAAACTCATGTAGCCATGAATGTTCTGTCTTCCCGACTCCTTTTGAATAGACACATATCAATTGCACTTGTTAGCAACTGAGCTCAAAACCGTCTGCCCAGATGTCCATGCTGCCATTTTGTTTCCTCAAGCACGTATACATAACTACAATAGGTGTATAAACACTTATTGTATGGTTAACTTTATGACTGCCATTGTACGCTGCAAGAAGGACGGCGCCCGCTCCACATCTGCCTGGTTGATTAGCATGGGAGAGGCTCCCAACGAAGTGGCAGCAGCTTCTTGGAGGAACCCTCTGACCCTAAAGTAGGGAAGTGCCTTGTGTGTTTTGAGCTCTCACTGTTTATTGCTGCTTGTAATTCAGCGCAGCTTTGGGTTTTCGGTGTCTCAAGGGGGATGCTTCTGTTAGTTCGCTACCGCAAGTACTCAAAGGAATATTTCATGTTTGCGCGCTAGTCAATGCGCCACCCGCCTCAACGGATTTAACTCTTTGAAACGGAAGCACATGGTCGCGGCCGGCCACCTCACCAGCAACTGCTGGTGTAGGAGCAGCAGTACCTACTGCTGCTGCTGCGCAATCTACACGGCGTTGGAATGTGGGGCGAGCTTGCAGCAGCAAGCAAATTCGGTGCGGAATTCAGTTGGACTCAGTTTCCCTCTTTGTGTTTTGTCTGTTAACAGTTAATCTGTAACTATGTGTGAACTCGGGAGCTATTGCAGCCCTAGCTGCGATGACAAGCTGCCTCAGCTGCTGGTATATAAGCTGCTGATGCTGCAGCTGTGGAGTCTATAAAAGCAGCAAGTGCGCATGGCATACGAAGGGCAGCTACGCAGCAAAGACGAAGACGATTATTCGTCTCCGGATGTTTGCCAAGGGGTTCTGAGGGCCTTGGCAATCCCAACTAGAGCTAAGAAAGGTAATAGGAACAGTGTCACGAGTGACAGAATAGGGAAGAGAGAAGGGAAAGCTCTACAAATGGCACTCAGGCAGAGTCGCAGTGCGTGGGGGTGCAGCGGCTGATCACCGTGTCGCTGCAATCGGCTGTGGTCAGTCTGCTGCAGGAGACACCCTCTTCATCTTGCATTGAATCCTTGTGTTGTGAGCAGCTGTGCTTTGCTGCCTCTGCCTCTGTCCCGAAGGATAGGCCTGAAGGCGTGATGGCGGGTAGCTGCTGCTGTTGCTGCTGAGGCGGCAACGGCGAAGCGGTCGTCGCTGCAGCAACAGTAACTGCAGCTGCTTCGTCTGCTGTGCTGCAGCTGGCGTGGGTTTTGAGGTCGGCGGGTGACCTTTGCCTCGCACTAAGTAGTGCGACATCAGGGCTGTCTTGGTTATTTGCCTCTGACCTTGGACTCTCTTTTCTTGCAGTGTCAGCAGTGGTGGGGGTAACAGCTGGAGAGTTTGCACAAGAGTTGCACTCTGCAGTGGCCATGGCACCGCAAACTGCAACAGTAGGAACTAGGCCCAGCTGTCTTTGGGCTTCTTTGACGTCTACGTTTTCCTTTGCCGACGGCGCAGTTGAGACAATTGTGCCATCGACAGCTATTTCCGACTCTGCCTGTCGGGGAGGCACAGCTTGGTGGTCGTGTTCTTGCTGTTGCTGTCGCTCCTTGCCATCCCCTAAAGTCCCTGTATTGTATACTTCTGTGCCTTCACCTGCTTCAGTAGTGCCTTCATGCGGCGCTGCTGCTGTGGGCAATGGAGCCACGAGCTGGCTGAACTGTCTCAGCCTGTCAATGGCCATATCCCTGGCCTGAAAGAAGCCGTGCACTGCGCAGGTGTATCCCTTCCATATACGGCGGCCACTTGTCGGGTCTCGAACCCTCGCGTACCAGCGCCCGAGAACTCTATTGTAGTTTAGGTGCGGAATTCGTGGCAGCTTTCTCGCTTCGCTTTCCCATCTCAACAGCTGCGCCTTGGTAGTTGTAGCGCGAGGGGGCGGAGTGGCGTTACCTCCAGACACGTAGCCATCGCTGCCGGGTCCCTTGAACCGCGATCCTGCGGCATCGTTCCCGTCCTTGCTCTGCACCTTTGGCATATTGCTGGCCTTTCGTTTTCTTACTAAAGACTTTCCACTGCACGCGAGCCGCCCACTGGAGTGTCGTCCATTCTGTTGTTGCTGCTGCGCCGCATGGCGCGCGCCCTCTGCTGCTGCCACCTGCAGAAGACTCCTAGGAAGTTCTATGCGAAGCGCTTCTAGCATTGCTGCACTGCAAAGCTTGGGCTCCCTCCGGGCATGGCTGGGGGCACCGGTGGATCCTAGGATTCCTGGGACCTCTTCCTTGGGAAGCCCGAGAAGAGTCGCGTCGGGCACTGGGAAGGGAAGAGGACCCCAGGGAGCTTCCAAAAGGTCGAGCGCCTCTGCAGCTCGAATGTAAAAATCTGCAATGCGGCTGTGTAGTGGCAGAGCCCGAAGGAACTCCCCATCACGCCACTCTCCCAGCAGGGGGCGTGAGGCCCCCGACGGGGAGACACAGCAAGAAAAACCGTGCAGCCGACCTTCGCGGAAATGTCCGAAAAAGGTTGGGCCCTGGGGAACCAAAAAAATGCCTGAATACAGGAGAAACGCATGCGAACCGAGCAAACCACCAATGTGCTGCTCTAAGTGCCGCCGCATTTTTTTGAAGTCGAGCACGCGACGCAAGTCCCTAAGAAGTATAGTCATGTTCGTCAATAGCCGGCAGCGAAGCACATATTCAAAACAAAGGCAAAAGGCGAACAAAGATACAAAGAGGTGCCAACCTGGCCCGTTTTGTTTGTCTGCCTCGAAGCTTCCCTTGTAGACGAAACCGCTGGGGGTGATGAAGACGCCAAAGCCGTGAAGCCGATCACGGGACCATTGGCCGCAATATACCGAGTTGTCCGTGTACCTATACACTCCGACACCGTCAAGGGCCCCGTCAGCCATCTGGCCACAGTACCAACTGCCGTCCTCCCAGCTCATGAAGCTGAGGGGACCTCTATCCTTAGGCAGCGACTCAGCAAGTTTGGAGAACAGAGCTATGCTCAGTTCCTGCAGGAGCCCTCCTTTGTCATTAGAGGATTCGAGCGAGGTACTAGGGCGGCTCGTAGTAATCATTTTACTGGCGTCAGCTGCTGCTGCAGAAGCAGCCAGCTGCGTGTCCCCAACCTTGGCCTTGATATCTGTGCACGGCTGCATCGAACATGGGGAATGAAGCCCGGCAGCAGCGGACGCAGAGCTTCGCGCGGCTCTAAGAAACCATGACGCACTGTCACGAGCTGCTGCTGCAGCTGCAGCAGCTGCTGCAGTGGGAGCCGTAGCGAGCCCGTCCGATCCGTTCATCATACGGTTGAGCTCCTGCAGCGCGAACGCGGTGCTCTTTCGAGCCCGAGTTGCTGCACTTGCGTTGACGCCGCTTACTCAGTGTTCAAGCACGAAGAAAATTTCGTGCCCTCTCTGACGTCCGCTGGTGCCGAGGTAACTAATCTAGCTGCTGGGGCGCGTGGTAGAGGTGTGGGCACTCTTGGGGACTGTCGCGCTCAGAGGCTTCGGCAAGTCAGTTCTCTCACAGCGTGCCTTGGTTGTCTGTGGAGCATGTGGCTACGGAAGAGGAGATGCGCAGCAACTTAAGCCTTGCTGCATTTAAAAGGGGGCGGGTTGGAGAGGGTGGCCGGCACCTGCGACATTCCGCGACTCTCAGTGCCTACCTGAAGTAGAAATAGTGGCAAAAGAGCCAAGAAGCGGTACCTGTGCCCCTTTTAGCGACGTCGAGATGCTTGCAGAACGCTCCACCGAAGGTGACCGCTGTAGCAACCGCCAGCAGTGGCGAGTAGTGCGCTCCCAGCTCCCAAGGCAACTAATGGGGCAAAAATTCCCCTCCTCTCAGACACGAGCTGGGTTCATGGGGCCTTAAAAACTCATTGCAATTGCTGTACTGTACGGTGGGGTGCACGGGGCTTCACCGGCGGCGGCGGCAAGACTTTCAATGTCTGGCGACGGCCAAGCGGGTGCTGCCAGCAGAGGTTTAAGCTCAGCTACTGTAAGCGAATTTAAATAGATACTTATAAACGAAAGGGGCTAAATGGCGGGCAAAGACGACCGTTTCCGCGCCATTGACACTGCCTGCTGGCCTGGAGGCGGCGGCCTGTCGGCAGTGGCAGACGAACTAGGAGCGAGGCAAGAGCCGCATCGAGACCTCTCACCTTTAAATGTATTAAAAATGATTTTTAATTTTACTTGATAGTTTGAAACAGAGAGTGATGCACTGAGAAGAGGCGCCTTCGTCCGCCGGCAGCCCCACGGGTCATTTCGGCAGACAGCAACTCGGCGCTTCCGATCGCTTGTCTCGGCTGAGCCCTCGGCGGCTCCAGGCCAATTGCTTGAAACTACGTAATCAAATTCAAAGCTCAGTAGTTGCAACTATTCAGTAGAGTATATAAAACTAGCTGACTTGAGTGTAGAGAGGGTCTGTTGTGAGTTGGCAAGCAGCGGAGTGGCGTGCATCTGACTGTGGCCTCCCCCGTGTCACTCCTGCCAAAGCAGTGTCAGCACCTGAGGCTCCTAGAGTGCGGACTCGATCACTTTCTGTCTATTAACCTCTATCAAAGTGTGATTCAAGATTTTGTTGGAGACTTTTACTTCGAATCTGCCATTGTAAGCGTGCCCGTGAGCTGCCGCTTCTTGAACCAAGGGCTTCCAACGTGTTTCAGAGCCCAGCTTCTCTGGATTTCGTCAGTATCGGCGGGCTTGGTGTTTCTTTATTACTTTCGCCAGCAAAGTTTTGACCCCTTATGGATACAGCTATAAGGGGGCTCGTGCAGGCAGGTCTACTGCTGATCATTAATATGGAGCATCATTTTGTCACATTGTGGTCCGTAAGAGTCATTGTCAATTTTTTCCCCCTCGAGCTGCATTGATAGTGAGGGATTTCATGGATTTTATTTCAATAGCGACTGATGGGATGTAATCTGATCAAAAGTGGCATTTCAGACGCGTAAGCTTCTATATGCATTATGCTCTACAAGAAAGTGGGACCCGCTGGGTTTTGTGCTATCTGTTCGGTAATTCAAGAATTATTCTTCTGTCACATCTTTAGGGTTTACTTTCATGACAGTTTTCATTAATCGTACTGCCTACTTATGTCTGAACATGATGGATGTTGGAATGACTTTTCTCAATCGATTGGCAGTTCGTTGTCAGCACTATCATCATGGCTGTTTACACTGCATCCGACGGTGGCCTAAATTAGCAGTTTGGTTTGGGCTCGTTTCATCATATTACCTCTGTTATTTCGATTGGCACCGTTACAAACTGATTTCACGAGAGGGCAAAGCTTGCTACGCGGCCCATGCCACTATGAATAAGAAACAGTTCCTGAACAGAGCGCCACCAGTCGCCGCGTATCTTAAACAACAGCTCATGAGACCAATTTTTAGGGCTGTTCACGAAGTGCAGCCAAGGAATCTGCAACACAAAGCTTGAGGCTGAATCGTACTTAACTTGGACAAACGCTTGCCATGATATTAAGCTGGGAAGGACAGAACAAAGCATAGTAACAGCCGGCACGGACTTCCCCTAAACATTATAAATGTGCTCTCTCAAATCCCTCAGTGATGCTTCCGAATCTACAGAGAGGTCACGTACAAATGGAATTGTATTCAGTAAACAAACGAACGCAGGTGCGCAGGAGATGTCCTGTGGCAACGCAGCAATCATGTTGGAGGCTTGACTCCTACACTTCACTTTCAGAAATACTCAAGGCAGCTTCTTTTCCGCATCTCTTATGTTAGCATCAGGGCCATGGCTTGTCGCTGTGTAGGGAGATAAAAAGCACCAGAATCATTCCCTTCATTTTAAGCTGCTCTGGGCATAGGTGGCGCCTCACTTTTTCGTGAGACCTTCTTAATTCAAACAATTACAGATACCTCCCCTGAGCCTTCAGCTTGTCAAGAGGTTCCTAGGTGTGCCAGGAAGTAGGCGGGTGTAACGGAAAAACAAAGACAAGTAAGAGCGAGAAGACGAACGAATATAGCTAGCCCCCAGCTTGTTGGCTTCAAGTAAATTTGCAGGCTGTAACACGGCTTGTAGTGATATATTGAAGTGATATACAGGAAACACAGATTCTTAAGATCAGGCATACTATCCGCAGACTGGAATGAGCTGTAGCATGAGCTCCATGTGAGCGCATCAGGAGCTAGTTAAGCGTACGGATGCTGGCGGTATTAAGAGGAAGACGAATGGGGCTCAGTTAGTCTCTGACAGTTAGTGTCTTACTGCAAGTGTGACCACCATAGAACATTAACAGACACACCACACGGCGTCGCTGTTTCCCAATTGCTGGGAGCGCCCTGCAACCTAAGCTAGCCTCTGCGGAGAAGAGGAGAGTAACAGAAGACGCAGGTGTGCCTAGATGCCAGAAGGATCATGGTAAATATCCTAATGAGAATGCGCACTGTTCCGCCGCCAGGGCGGCAAGGAACAAAGATGCGCGGCACACTGGGCTGCTTGAAGATTCCTGTGGAGCTGGCTATTCGCTCTGGCGTGCAGCCAGGCTTGTCACCAAATTCTACGGTGTTTTCAGATAGCTCGACATGGGTCATTCATTACTGACGACCAACGCCTCCACGGCTTCTTAACATGCGTTTCCATGCCCAAGCAGGATTGCAGCACTTCCTCAACAGTCCTGTAGGGCTACAGGTATACGTTTGGCTTTCACAGCAGGTTCAGTGAGACAATTATTGTGGGGTGGTGCTTTGTAGTGCTGACAACGTAAGGCGTGACCGAATATATTGGGGAGTCGGCACAGACGCATAGGTGGCATAGGTGGCCGTTGAACATGTGGGGCTTCTTTCTCGCTGTTTAGTACTTCTCCCGGTATAACAGGTGCTTTTCATGGAAGTCAGGCAAATGGGCAATGCGCAAAAAAGTAGGATTGTCCATGGGTCAAAAGAATTCACAGGAATTGCCATGGAATGCAGGCGACCACGCTACCATCCATGTTCGCTGCTTTACAGCTGCTGTGTAATCCCAGTCCCTGTGATGCTTCAACGTAGCGTAGAATGGCTAGGCTGTAGATGAAATCGCTTGGGACGTAACGTTTTGGCCGGGTTTGGCTGCAGCGTTCGAGTGCCCGGAAGATTTTCCTTATTAGTTTGTTCTACCATAACAAAACTATATTCAACATTAAAAAACTGACCTACTTTGTCTTCAAAACGCACGGATGAGCATGCGTACGCATTGGTAGGGCTGTCAGATCAAGGGGCCCCGATGTGAGGGATCCCAGATCTCGGGGCCCCGCAAACATATATCCAAACCAGGTGTTGGCAATATAAAGTCTAATTGCTGCTTTCTACAATTTTCAAAGTAGCTCTTAGAGATATTTACGCCGGTTTTCAGAGGGGCCTTTGACTCCCGTTAGGTTCGCCGCAGCAACCGCAGCTGTGTGCTGCTGTTTCTGCGGCTGCTGCAGTTTACGCCTCACCATGATGAACTATTTAGAATGCAGATAGTCCATGCTTCCGCGAGAGCTTTGAAAACCTGATTTCTTAGCTCTCATAGTGTTGACAGGGTTGGGGGTACAGGGGGCGTCGCCGGTGCTGCTGCTTTTCCTAAGCTGCATTATTTTTGTTACAGCAGCAGCAGCAGCACTACAGGTTCCTGCAAAAGTATCAGGCCTGTTCCACGACAGCGGGAGCTACTGCATCTCGCGCTGTCCCAACTGTTGCCACATCGGGATAGGGAAACAGGGGGAACACGACCACGACGCTTGGCTGCAACAGCACCAGAAGAACAAGGGGTACAACGATCCTCCCGTGCTGACTTATTAGCCGCAACCCGAATAGGAATCTCTGGAGTGCATTAGAAATCAGCTACCGGCAGCGATTGGATCCCGTTACGGCAAGAGCGGCAGTGACACGAGCGCTTCGCAGCGGCGGCAGCAACGGGCAAAACGCGGGCAGCACAAACGAGCAGACGATGCTGTTGGTGGTCCTCCTTCCGCTTGCGCTGGTTGTTTCCATAGGAGCCGCATTCTCTGGTGAGTTTTGCCCACAGGCGCTGCCTGGACCCAGAACCCTCACTGTGGGGGCGTAAGGGTTGAATTCAACACGCCGCCGCAGTGGCATGAACATATCCACTTCATTGTCTGCCATGGCATTTTCCAGAAATTACGATATTGAGCTCATTGTGAAGGGCTCGAAACGGGTGTCGTGCGAGCAGACCGAGCTGTGTGTCTTCGTCGACTGAGTTTTGATGGGCAGCCCCCACAGGACCAGCGCGAGTACTCATTCCAAAGCTGCAAAAATCATGCGGCCAACAGTACGATCCTGTTACCTGTTGGCGTTAATGCTAAAAGTGCAGCTGCTGCTGCTGTTGTTGCTCAATTGAGATGTTCGGTGGATGCATAAAGCTGCAGTTGGTGTCTCTAACAATCTAGGTGAACCTAGAATTGTCAGGTTAGAGGCCTTAGTCGGCGCTTTTCCGCTGCCTGCACTATTGCTGCCTCTGCAGCTTGCTGCTATCCGCAGCACACCGAGCTAATTAAAAGGCGTTTAGGTGCCTTGGAGGACAACAAAGAATGCAAAGTGAGGGGACGGGGTTGCTGCAACTGCTGCTCCGATGCTAGCAGATGAGGCAGCGCCAGTACAGACTGGAAATGCTGCTGCAGGACCCGCTGTAGGTGCTAGCCCAGTCTAGTCGCCGATTGGGGGTTCTGTCTTTCTCGATGCCAGTTTGCATTAGCCGTCGCTGGTAGCTACACATGCCAGCTGCTGCTGCCGCAAGACCCAGCGAAACCGTTGCTGAGCATGATTTTCGAACTGCCGCTGATGTGGCGCGCTTCAATGCGTGCTGACTCTACGTGTTGCGGGCTGGCATTCCACCTTGCTGGTGCGTCCTGTTGCTACTGCTGGTGCAGAAGGTGTCGGAGGAAGTAATGTGCGTGCTGTGCGAGCCACGATTTGGCACGGGGGAATTGGAGAGCAAAGGCAACCCTGTCCTGTGCCCGCAGCTCTGTGAAAAGTGGTGAGGATGTAGGGCCACTAGCTGGGATTTAACGTTGTTAGGTCAGCTCTTAGAGTGGGCCCTGTCCGGCATACGCTGTTGACTGTCTCACGCGCTTTAGTTGTGGACTCTACGGGTCTGCAGTTGAGAAGGCTTGTGGCTTAGGGATCAGATTAGAGGGTTTAGGTTCGACTTATTGGAAACTTTGTTCAGGTTCGCTGCATGTAAAGAAGCGTTTGTATCCGCCTCCCCATCTGGCAGCTCCAGCGCCTTGACCTTCTGCGATGACAATTGCCTCATCTGCTCGCGGCTCTCTGCAAGTGCGTCTTGCTCCTGGTGCTTTCGCTGGTCGCTGCTGTTGATGCAGCAGCTGCTTCCCCAGCTGGTGCTTAGAATGACAGAAGAATCTTGTAGACGTCTCAGTGAAGCTCACTTTGGACTAAATGCTTGTACAAACGCCCATTGTGTATACATGTACGAGCAGCAGCTGCAGGCTGCAAGATGTGTTTCGCCGTACACTTACGCAGGTGTACGGATGCATGCGTAGGTGTACCATAGGACTGCGCACATATTAACAGCATGATTGCATGTACATGTGTGATTTGCCATACACGCACAGTGGTAGTGTTGTTGTTGCTGTGCTCTACCTCTTGCATGCAGCGCTGGACAATAGCCTCTCCTTTTGCCATGGGATGGGCTATGAGGTTCTTCTGGAGGATGCATCTGACTCGTCTGAAGGCGTAAAGCAGAGACGGCGTGCCTGTTACGGTGGTAATTTTTCTAGTTTGGGGTTCAGGGCTGTCGCTTGAGAATTGACATGCAAGCGCAGAGGAATGCTGTCTGTGACATTTTGTATCACGAAACGGAAGTCTTGAGAGCTGTCTCGGGGCTGCGCTTCGCCATTTCAAGGACATTGATGGTTCATGCTAATTTTTGCACATGTCTTGGGGCTTCTGCTTGTCGCAGGTGTGCCAACAGCTTCATTTAGCGCCGCCCCGAAGCTTTCGGAGAGACAGGGTGGCTACGGGAGCCATCGAAGCGAGCGCGAGGCCTTCGAAAACTGGCTTTGGGGGAACTGGTATACAGTGTATGAGTTGTTCAGTCGACCTGAGGTGTGGCTGCTGCTGCTGGTGTTTGGCTTTTTGTTGAACCAGCTGCTGCAACAGGCCCGGGAGATAGTGGCTGTTCACGAACAGGAGGAGAAGCTCGAGCGTCGGCAGCAGATCTTAGAGCGCTATAGTGCTCGAGAGGACGAGGAGGAGGAAGAGTCGGTCTCGTCTGCAGAAGAAGCAGATAATGACACAGAGCCGGCACCCCAGAGACCCGAATAATCCCGAGCCACAACAGACTCACAAGGCATGTAAGATGCGTATGACGCATGCACGACAAAACTCAATCTCTGCAGCTCCCATTTACAACACGGGAATGCGGCTGACAAACGCGATAGCAGCAGAAGCGTTGGAGCAGCGTTGGAAAGCCCCTTGAGTACACTGATGTGTACCATTTACTCTGCGTGTTACAGGTTTACATGCATCTACGTATGTGTTTTTTCTGATCAACGTATAAATAAGTGCTTACACGTGCAAACGCGCATCTGCACATATACAGATTTCCATGCAGCGCTGCCAAACTTCCTGCCCAGAGTGGATAGGAATAGTTGGTTGTTTTGAGAGCTTGCCCAGCGGAGAGCTCACTGAGTTGCCTTAGCATTCTTCTCGTTTCCATTAGCACTCTTTTGCTGTTAATTTTGTTGTAATTACTCTTGTAAGCACCAACCATTGAAAAGGATGAATATGGCAGCAGCTGCACTTACCTTCATTATAGTTAAGGTGCATGTGTTCCCACGGCTTGAACTAGTCCGTGCTGAACCCTTGCTTTTGGTATCTTTAGAGCGGCAGCCACAGGTAATGTGGTATGATGGTTACCGATCCCAATAAGGTGGTCATGCCCATGAGTAGAACAGCATTGCAATCGTTGTGCAGGAGCATTGGTACAGTGGCGGCGGAAAGCATTTAGCAGTGCTTAACTGTGCTTCACTAACTATCAATAGTGTGGGAGTGGCGTACGCTATATACATATAGCAGGGATATACATACCGTTCAGTGTACCAACGAAACCCGGTTCGAGGACATGCAGATAAATCGACGGGGAGTCGTATTGGGAGGTCGACACTTAAGTCTATTAAAAGTTGAAGCTCTTACGAATCTCCCGATGGGAGCACAAAGAACACAGCCAGGATTAGCAATGGCTTACGTGGGAGTTCAAAAAACAATTCAAAGATCACGTTTGGGGCTACTTGTATGAGGGCCCCGCATGCAGTACTACAGAGGTGCCTGTCCTACAAGGTTCCTTTAAAAATAATTTTGACCTTGGTACTGCGGTGCAGCTGGCAATGAAGGTATTTCAAGGGACTATTTTAGTTGTGCCTGCCAAGCAGGGCCACTGTCCCTGCACCGCCACATCACCTTGGGTGTGTAGATAGCTGCTCATACAACTTGGAGTACTTCAGCATTTGCTTTTCTTTACTCATCTCAATTCTTTTGACCCATGAGGCAGAAATATCGGGATTCGCCTTTACTATGTCCCGCCATTTCTTCTATTGGCTTCTTGCTGCCAACGATTCGTAGCACGCGTGCGTATCCACCTGGTTTTTGGAGTTCCCCGTAGTTAGCCCAATAACTTGCCTGCCTTTTGGTACATGTTATTATCTGCACGCGTTTATTGCACATGCACAGAAACCATGGAGCACAGGGGGGTTTCAGTGGTGGTGGCCACTGCCATTGAAGCGCAGTAGCGGAGGCCGCAAGAGCAGCATGACGCAGTGTACGTCAGTCCTATACGGAAGCAGCGGCACAAAAGGCCTCTGCAGACGCAATGCAGAACCCAACTGCCGCAAAAGAGAGCACAAAAGCATCTTGTGTTGCAGATGATGGGGGAGAAGCTGCTGGAACACCACCTAACTTTGTTGACCTGGCCACCGTCCCTCTTGTGGGCTCAACCAGTAGCGACTCTCATTATGTTGTTGACTACCCTCTACCAGCGCCTCCATGGGAGCTTCCCAAGGCTTCGTCTATACAGCGCTCCCTTTCTCTTGAAGAGCCAGGAGGAATGTATGGACTCGAAGGAGCCCTTGAAAAAGTTCATGATGATCCCGACGAAATTCAAGGACAGGAGCCCCAGGAGCGCCTGCACCGGCGTGGCCATCTGCAGCAGAAAGCCCTCGATGCAAGCCCTGACACGAAAGGCAGCGATAAGGACTATGCTCTGGAGAAGCCCAATGCGGATAGTGACGCGTATGCATTTCAGAGAAAAAACCGCGCTGCAGCTGCAGGACGTGCTACTTCAGCAAACGCGTGTGAAGCTGTATCAGCAACCGCGGTGCCAAGTTCTACATCAGGAGCTGCCGGACCGGACCTCGAAACAGTATGTCGCCAGACATTTATTTTTGCAAATTCGAAGGCGGGAATGGATATGACGGAAGAGGAGAAGGCGAAAATAGCAGCAAAAATTTTTGAGCTCTCCAAGAACTCGCCTTTCTACGCAAACGAAATGAGGTGCTTGCAACACCGTACCTGCAACTGCAGCTTCACGACGGTAGAGACAGCAGTACTGCAATAACGGTTGCACTTACATTGTGGCTGACGCAGCACTTGCGCAGCAGCGATTTCACGAGCATTGCTTTGCTTAAAGTACTGTAGCTGGAAGTCCTTGTGAACCTCGCGGTTGAGACGGAGCTGTTGTGGAGATGCATTATTTGCTGTTTTGGGTTGCCTGAACTCTTTCATTATGCTTATTTTTACTTTTCTGTATCCAATCCTTGGCTGTCACTTCATCATGCCTGCTTGTTACAGGAAGAACAAACAGATGGAACAGCAGTTGTCGGTCCTACGTCGCCGCGTACAGCTATTTGCGTCATCTGGTGGGAGCGCCGCTGCTTCTGCCACTGCGCGTCGAGTACTCCAACAGCTGCAGCAGCAGCAGCAGCGCGAGTCAGGTCGGGTGTATGTCCACCTGGACATGGATATGTTCTTCTGTGCCGTCGAGATGCGCGACGACCCCTCGCTCCTGTCTGTGCCCATGGCCGTGGGCTCCCTGTCTATGCTGACCACAGCCAACTACGCCGCGCGGCGGTACGGGGTGCGGTCGGCAATGCCTGGCTTTATTGCTAAACAGCTGTGCCCGTCTCTGGTGATTGTGCGACCCAATTTCAGCAAATACAGAGCAGCAGGGGACGCTATCAGGCGTGTGCTCGAGGCCTACGACCCCGGTCTTTCCTCGCACTCACTTGATGAGGCGTCTTTGGATGTCACAGACTACCTCAAGTAAAACTCATGAGCCACTGCTGCTGCTGAGGTGGCAACTGTGTGCATGAGGGACAGGAGGGGAACCTGGGTGCCCCTGAGATAACAAAATTCGTGTCTGTCGTCCATTTCCCAAACCTTGGTGCTTGTGTCAAGTTCTTTTTTGCTCTGGCCTTAGTTGACCTTCCTCTGGAGTTTGTGCTTGCCTTATGATGTTCCGTAGCTGTTTCTCGTCTCTGTATAACCTTGTACCAAAGGGAGCCCGCGGAGCTGTTTGGAGCCTTGCCGTCTCTTCTGTTCCTCTCCAGACTCCTTGCCTCCCTTCGTCTTACATCTGCGCAGTCTCTTCGTTTTCCGTCACTGCATCACAGCCATATGATCACTGCGTTTTGCTCCCATGCTGGTGTTGCTAGTGTTGTTACTGTTGCAGCAAAAGGTTTCGGTTCGCCGAGAGTGCAGACGCCTGCAGCCCAGTGGACATCACCGAGTCTCAAGAAAACACAGACAATACGCCTTCAGGAAGAAAAGCAACAGCAGCAGCTACATTATCAATATCACATTCTCCCACAGCAACCATTCCGATAACCAGAGGAGCTACCAAACCATCTGTTGCAGCAGCAGCAGCAGACGCAGCAGCAGCCAAAGCAGCAACCGACCGGGTGACGGCGCTGGTATCGGAAATTCGCGCCGCTGTCTCTTCTGCTACAGGGCTTAGCTGTAGCGCGGGTGCTGGAGCGAGTCGCATCGTAGCTAAGATTGCATCGGACATGAACAAGCCAAACGGCCAGAAGATAGTAGAGGCAACGGGAGCAACAACAGCAGCAGCAACAGCAGCGACGGCAGCTTTCTTGGATTCGCTCAATGTACGCAAAATACCAGGTGTTGGAAAATACAGAGAGAAAATGCTTAACGCCCTGGGCATACACACCTGTGGGGAACTCTTGCAGCACGCACCGCTACTGTTGTACTTGCTGCCCAAAATAACAGCAGTACATCTGATACGCATGGCTCTCGGGGTCGACGGGATGCCTCCGGAACTTCAGCAACAACAACAACAGCAGCAGCAGCAGCAGAGCGTCAGCTCGGAAGAAACGTTTCCTGCAACGAATGAGCTGCCTGTGCTGCGCCGGGTCGTCGAGCAGCTGGCATCAGCAGTGGCAGAGGAGCTGAAGGAGATGGGACAGGAGAGCGACCATGTGACCCTCAAGGTCAAGTTTGCGGACTTTTCGGTGAGAACTATCTCACACAGACTGCTGCAGCACACCGGTGATGCTGCAACAATCGCAACAGCTGCCCAAGGCTTGCTGCAATCCGTCATCCGGGAGCAGCAACTCAAGAAGCCGACAAACGCCGGCTGCACAGGTAGCGTCAAAGGCACGGCGGCATGGGTGAGGCTGCTAGGTGTGCGCTGCTCCGGCTTCAGACAGGCGAAGACACGGAACAAGGGGCTGCGTAAACTAGATGAGTTCTTCTCACAGCAGCAGCAGCAGCAGCAGCAGCATCAACAACTCGCAGCAGAGGCACGCGATGCTGTAGCACACCCTAAAGAAGAGTGGTGCGTCGAGGCTGAGGAACTCGACGACTTGCTTGCAGTTCTCTCTCAACACAAAAATGAGAAGGCGGCTGCAGGAGCAGCATCGCCGCCGGAGGAGGCAGGGCTGCCACCAACAGAGACAGTGCCGTATGCACAAGAATCCCAACCAGCTGCAAAATCACCAGTGGGGGCAGATTTGCCACCAGCAGCAGTATCGGGAGGCGCAGTAGCAGTCCAACTGGAAGATGCCGCAGTCAAAGAAGCCGTTGCGGAGGCAGCGGCCCAGGTCGACGTTGGTGCTGTTGAGCGGACCCCAAAATCACGAAGCGAATCCGTCTGTAGGTCCGCGCGACAGCAGCAGAGCTGCGAGACCGGCGGCGGGAGCAGAAGCAGCAGCCAGCGACAAGGCGAGAAGCAGTTGCTTCTAAACGTGACTCCGCGGCAGCGGCAGCCGCAGCACGAACGCCGTCGTCTCCCATCCCCTCCAATTCATCAGCGACTGAGGCAGAAGAAGCGTCAGAAAGTTGACCAACAGCGGCAACAGCCGCAAGTGCTTGAACTTCTGAAGTTGTCCAGGAAGCAAAGACAGCAGCTTCCAGACCGACAAATACAGGCTCAGCGCCACTCTCACGAGGGAAAGGAGAACCCAAAGGAACACGTGGTAGTCGAAGTAGTCAGCGATTAGGCTCAAGTGACAACAGCAACACCAACAACGGCGGCAATACCAGCCGTCCGCCGCCCAGGGGCCTTGTGGACGAAACAATAGGAAGCAGTCAGTTGGATTTACCAACGAGTGCAGTCATTGGCTCCAAGTTACGCTGACTGTCCACCGATATACAGCTCAAGGCTTAGATGCTGTTCATTACGCTCCGGCAACCGAGTTCCGCTGGCAGCACTGCTGGAACACACGGAGTTGTTTTTGGCATTTTCGCCAGTCCCTGATCAATAAGAAGCGCACGAGTCGGGCTGTGTCTCTTCGTTCGTATCTCACTGTCTCTGTGTATCTCGCTTTAGCTCCCCCTCTACAAACGTTCCTAATTCGAGTATTGTGAAAGGCTGGAGTGCCGCTGGCAACTCATGCGCTTGCGGGATTAAAATGAAAGCATAAAGTGTAAGGTTCTTGACGATTTCGTACGCCTTCATCTCTAGTAAGTCACACACGTACACCGTGCAGCTCTCTTTAGCAGCAGGTGATGCTAAGCAGTCGTACGGAGAGGCAGGTAGTGGGAAGCCAAAGCATGTGGGTGAATAGGCGGTTTGTGATCTAGGGTGTGTGAGCAATGCCTACTTGTCTGTTTCATCCAGACAATCCTGCAAAATACCGTACTCCTTTGAACACCCTGTGTTATCAATCTTGTCGTCCACGTCCTCTCCATAGTGAGGGTTCCCTTGGGCTATCGATGTAATTACTCCTGTTGCTGTGCCCTCAGTAGGTTGGTTAGAAGACCCTAAAACACCGCTTTCTGATACTTCACTGACCTTCTGGGGTCCTACAGCAGCTGGGCATTTGGTTTCCGATGGATCCTTGCGGTGGAACAAAGGCATCGTGAAGCATGAACGTAGGCAAAATCGCGCTCGCAAATCGAATTAAAATAATTAAGCAGTACCTTCCCTTAATGGGTGCCGATATTTGCATTCACCTGCATGCATTGGGAGTTCCCGCGACAGCATACGCACACTACCAGCGGCGACGGCAACCACAGCCTCTCTTCCCCGCAAAAGACCCGCGAAATTACACCTAAGGCCAATTTTCAACAAAGCTTTAACGATCATGAGAAGTACACGAACAAATCGCGCGAACACTCGATCAGGGTGGGCCACCAAGGCTTGCGTGAGTACCCTAAAGGAACTAGACATGGGGGCCCCAACACAAGACAAGTAAGGTGCAAGGCCTACGGAGAGTAACACGGTGTATTTCAGTGTTATTTCGTCGTCACTTTGCACCGCAGTTACTGCAATGGTAGCACTTGAAGATAACAAGAACCCTCATGGAGACAGCCAGCAATGTAGAAGACCGCTTGAGCCGTTGGAGGTGCCTGCGACCTTCAGTTACGCTTGGCGTACGATCTATATAGAAGAGTTTCTATTCAAGCTTCGAAGATGTATGGTGCACGCCTTTTGTTTAGGGCGTAGGTTTCAGATTTGAGGGCCACGAACCACTGCACACGTGGAAGTGTGGCAGCCTTTACGGGATGTGTGAAGTTTGGCAGCAGACGAAGATATCAGACTTGAGTGAAATGATGCGAAATGGTTCTTTGTTATTCGCGTGGGGTCTTTCTCGTGGTGTGGTTTCCTTTTCTGCTACTACTGCTTCTGTTCCCGGCTGTAAGCAGCCTTCTTGGGGACACCAGAGGAGGCAGGGGCCCCACACCCCAGGGAGGCTTTTTATTCCTCGAAGGTTTAATGGCTCATAGCGTACCAAAGAGGCCAGCAGGAGCGGATTGTTGGAGGCTGCATCCGTTCCTCGTGTCACATGCACGTCGGTGGAGCGTGTCTTTTTGCTCTGATAGCTCGCGCAACGTTGCCAATTGTAATCGCATAGAGAGGGGCCACTGCAACAATCGGCTAGCTAATTCAGATTCCTCACAATCGAAAACACTGTTGCCAAACAATCGTCAGGAACTGCCCTGCCTTCTGCTGGGTGGTGGCCTCTCCCTTGACCCGGCGCTCCTCTTCGCTCTTGCAGCTCGTCGCCTTCTGGAGCAGCCATTGAAAAAACTGACTCAGGGTGATTCGGGTCCAAGAGCTGAAGCAAGAGAAGCAGCCGCTGCAGCTGCTATTGTATGTACACCTGTAACTGTAGAAGGCGGCAGTGGCGGCGATGGTTCCATTGCCTTCCTTCGCCTCAAAGCGGCGCCACGCAGCGGTGCTGCAGGGGGTTGCGGTGGACGAGGTGGATGTGTGTTGCTGCGGGCTGTGGGGCCCCTTGATGAATCCTCAGGGGGCCTGAGGCGTTTTACATCACTGCTGGAGAGCGGAAGCTGGCGTGCGGCTTCAGGGGCGACAGGAGCAGGGCAAGGGAAGACGGGGGTGTGTGGGACTTGCTAGAAGATGCATATCTCTGCACCTTGTGCCACAGATCGTACTTATGGTTCTGCTACTCATAGATACTCTGCTACTGATGATGCTTGGTGCATGGGCCTGATGGCTTCCAGCTTTGCTACCCGCACAGAACTGTTGCGGCCGCAGGCGTAGCAGAAGTGAAAACGAAGATGGAGATGAACAGTTGGTGTTTGTGGCATTTCCGTCTCAGGCGAGTGGGTCTGATCTGCTACTGGGGCTCCCTCCAAATGCTTTGGTCGTAGACGTCTCCCCTCTGCAGACGCTTGCTGCTGTTGCGATGCGGCGTTTGCTGCAGCAGCAGCAGAGCGACCATGAGATCATTGAAGCAGAACAGTTAAAGGAGGAACATCGACAGCTGCAAGAGGAACAATCGCGCCCGCTTTGCTGCACCTACTTTGCAGCTCCAGGGGAAACCCTCGTAGCCGCCCGCGGCGGGTCCGGGGGGCGTGGCAACTCCGCCTTTGTTTCTAATAAGTGAGCTCGACGTAACCTTTTTTGATGGCGTAAATGGCATCACTGAGAGCAGTGTAGGCGCTGCAAACTTGGCCGCTCACTCACGCTGCTGCTGCCAGTGCAGTTGCTATATATAGCATGGTCCTGCTATTTTTTGCGGGCGTTGTAGCAACAGGCATCCCTTACTAAGCGAAACAGGGTCTCCTGGAGAAAAACGAAAACTACTGGTGATGCACGACTTTGCAGACTTCATCGTCGTAGGTCGCATGCAAAGTGGCAAATCCACGCTGCTGAGAGCCCTCACTTCAGCAGCAGCTGACACTGCTCCAGCGGAAGCGATGGATTCTGTGGGTGCGGCTACTGATGCATCTGTTGCTGTTGGTGAGACAGCTGGTAGTAACTCCATCGCCGTCACTGCTGAGCAAGGTGAACACGTCTTGCTAGATAAAGCAACAATGCAGCAGCAGCAACAACGGCAGTTACAGTGGCTTTCAGCTGCGGTCCCAGATGATGTGTGGCTACCAACTACCGAACCAGCTATCTGCATAATTCCTGCACCTTCAGAACAAATGGAAGCGGAACAATGCGGCACAGATATCCAGCAGCAGCAGCAGCAAGGCAAACGAGGCCTGGGTGATGCCTTACAGCAGGCTATGGAGCTCGCCTCGGCGGCACCAGTTGTGGCCCTCGACACACCAGGACTACTAACACCGGCAGTTTCCTCAGACTCAGAACAAGCAGCGACATACTCAGAGAGCAAATGGCCTCCTGCAGCAGGGCAACAGGACGATCCCCTCAAGGGTTTGAGTGCCGCCACCGCCGTCGTACTTGTTATCGATGGATCCGTTCCCGTGAGAGCTGCCACTCGTATCACTGTTAAGCAGCAGTGGCAAGAGCATTGCCTTCTCAGCTGAGGCAGCACAGTCAGTAGAGCTAAGCTCGTAGAAGCAGCAAACGTTTAACATCTCCAAACAGATGCTGTGAGGGCTGTTGCTTTAGAATCCTGCAGGGGAGTTTATGATGCTCCACCAGGAGATGCTGCAAGCTAATCCCCAGCTATCAGAGCTACCAGTTATCCTTGTTCTTAACAAGATAGACCTGCGACGGCAAGAACAGCAAGAGCAAGGCCCATCGCATGATGCAGAGCTGGTGGAGAGCGTGAGAAGACAGACAGGAATTAAGGAGGTGTACGCTGTGTCGGGTGAGTCATTGGTTTTTTATTGCTTCTGCTTTTATTTGCAGCAGTGGCGTATCATTCGTTCCATTGAAATGCATTGCTACTAGCGTAAGGCGACAAGCAGCTCGCTTGCAGCACTTGATCGTGTCTGGCATGCAACATGCAACATGAGCGCCTTCTTACCCTGAAGAACTACTCTCTGTACTGTTGGTTGCAGCACTACGAGGCGACGGTTGTCGTGGTCTTTTAGAAGCGCTTCGAAGGATTGCAGGCTTAGAAGCTATCAGCCCAAAACAGCAACAGCAGCTGCTGTTGCACTTCCAGCAGCAGCAGGAACAGCCGCAGCAAGAGCAACAGCAGCAGCAACTCAAGCAGATCGACCCAGCTGCTTATCACCTGGCGTTTTTCGCCGCTTACTCTGCAGCTGCTGCATCAGCGCGTCGACATATGTTGCTTTTTTCTGTCCGCGAGCTGCAGCAGCAACAGCAGAACCCAGGAGCAGATTTGGTGCAGCGTCCGGCGTCAGCCCCTCCCCAACGCGTATCCAGCATCAGCAGCAAGAAGCACGTGTACCCCTGTTTTCCTGTTCTAGATGATCCATACAAGTGGACCCTCGTGGAGCTTGAGGGACACGGAACTCTGCAACGACTGCTGCAGAGCCGAGAGGTGCTGCATGCCTCCCCAGACTTTGCGGGTGAAGACAGCATCAGTGCGCGGTCATCTCTGGCTGAATAGGCATCAGCTCCACAATCAGTAGCAACTTTCTTCGCGTCAGCAGTTATCTGTGCTTCCTGAATACTCTAGACTGTCTGTTTGCAAGGCGACAACATTTCAAATAACGAAAGGCACTGCAACAGCTACAAAAGAACTGTGCCGGCGCTCATGTACAATGTCGCCCCGAATTTCGTGTTGCACAGGCGGTCGGCGATGTTTCGAACTAAGGGGTCCCCTTGTGCCACTGTTAACTGAACCTGTGAAGTTCAGCAGCGAAGCAGCGAAGCTGCGGTTGTACAGACAACTCAACGCCCTTGACATCATAGAAGTACGGTTATCCTCAAAGCTCAGTGCATTTGGATGAGGTACTGCGCAGCAGCAGTCGCAGAGCCGTGCCATGTCTCCCTATAATAATGTGCTCTTGCGTATGCAGCGAGCTTACACTGACGTGGGAGCCAATGTTGGCGACTACCTTCTAGTTGGCCCGGTGCTGCTGCAGTTGCTCCCTTTACTGCGGCATTCCAGAGGTCGGAAGAGAGACTACCATCATAAATTTTGGTGCGGAGATACGCTGGATATATTGAAGAAAGATGGCATCCCAATCAATGTACGTTTCACAACAGCGGTTCTTGAAACAGCGGAGGGTAGTTCTGTGTTGCTTCCTGGACGCTGGCCGACGCATCTGGTTCCTTTCTACTGCCACATGATGGGACACCATTCCTTTTCCGTCAGTGTCCGCTACGGTGCGAATCTCAGGACAGGCTTGAACCCGCGTCTGTTCCTGCAGCCACTAGAGCTGGTGCTGCCGAAAAGCGCGAAATTATAGATCTGTGTCGTTTTCAAGATGCTGCATCGCTCAGCCCAAGCGTTCGACCGTATGCCTTCACTGCCTGCTAGCTTCATGCACAGCAGCAAGCGCCAGCGCGTCTGTCAAGCAAGCACAATTCAGTGACAGAGAAATACAAACTGACGTTTATAAGAAGTCAAGGCAGCTGAAAATTCAGCAAATTTAGGCAGAGAAGAGGACTAGAAATCTGCTGGCGAGATGCATGTGTTTTTTGCTGCAGGTATAGCGCAACTGACCCTAATGCCGTCCACAGACGCCGTCGCTTGCGTCGTAGGATCCCTCAGGCAGCTCGCCCCTGAGCAGTGCCAGCATTTGGTCAAGCGGATGATGTTTTCTCGCCAGTACACTTCCACGGCAAATCCTGGACACTTTGTTGGAATCAAAGTCGCAAACTTCAAGCGTTATGTACCCGTTAGAATCAAGTTCATCAAATGATCCGCCTGTTCGCCATGAGTCCCCATACATAAAACAAGTTCTTGCCAGTTTGGAACTGTCACTGGTGCAGCAACCTCTCCGGTTGCTGCACCAGTGGTTGCTGCACCAGTGGAGGGAGAGCCGGGCCAGCAGCCGCTTTATGTAAGCTGCTGCCAGACGCAACGAAAGAGGAGTTACGCGATTGTAACTAGCATGCTAATCGCTAGCAGGCACTATGCGGTGAACCAGCACGATTCAGTGGCAGCATATAAATGACGCTGCTTCTCGTGTGTGAAGTGTAGCTGAGACACTGCAGGCAGTAGAATTAGGAGCTACTTATGGTATTTTTTTAGCTTAATGTGGAAGCACAGCTTGAGTTGTAAGGATATGAATTCTGACGGAGTGGACCTACCAATCTTTTTTCAGTCTTACTGAGTGGACAGTCAAACTATTTGTACCTTTATGTACTTCAACTGCTTTTTCACATAGGATACACACTTGGAATGCACTTGCGATTTGTGACTTTGGACAGTTGTAGGGCGTTGTAACCCAGTTGTGGTATGTTTCTTAATGCTAAAACTGCATGATGTGGCCTTTGTTACAGAGCGATAGTAATGTATGCCAGTGGCTTCTGCAGCGTAGATGATGCGCGAAGACGTGAAAGCTATCATGGTTGAGTTATGCTCGTGTTCATATTTTTACTGTGCAGACCTAAGAGGCAAATGCACTGAGGGTCATTTGCTGCTCATACTATTCCGGTGTAAATTATTTATTCTTCGAGGTAGTGGCCTCTCTGGGAGGCCAGAGAGCTGCTGGCCGCATTTGCTTTTGATTTTGGCCTTAGTTATGCCTCTATGTTTTCGTTCCGCCCCGTTTTCAATTTTTTATCGCCGTTCAATCCTCCCTAATCTGCAGCGGCGCTTATCTTTTGGGCTCCATGCTTCGCATTCCCGGCTTTCTGGCTCTCAAAAGTCGGCCACCTTTGCTGCGTGTTGTCACGAGCCTTCCTGACTCCTTAATCGTGCAAGTAACTCCGGTGTTTGTCGAGCCCTTTCATGCTTCTTTGGAAGAAGTTTGCCAAGTGCGCAGACAGTCTTGAAGAATGACACCAACGGAGTGATGCTGCAAGTGACAGGCCACACATTTTGCTTTATGCTGCGATCGCTTTTCGTCTTTTACAGGTTATTCCTCGTGATAGCTGTGGAGCTTCAATTACCCCATTGGTAATCATTGTACCTTGGTACCTGGCTTCCATGGGGCCCAGCGCCTTATATGAGTTGCTGAGTGTTGAATGACTGTAATCGACGGAAAAACTAATGCGAAACTCTTCGATGCGTTCTGAGCTGTAGCTCGCCTACTTTAGCATGATGCTTTTCCTGGGAACAACTGCGTACTGGTTGAGCGCTGCTGGCTCCCGTGTTCATGGGCGTGACTTCAACACAACTGCCTGCTTCGAATATTGGCAATTTTGTTTACTTAGCCAAAATGCAAGCAGATGTTAATCTGTTCACTTAGCCAAAGGATAACATCTTCTTGCACTCGCGTATCTACAGTAACAAATCTAGCGCGCTGAAGTGCATAATGCCTGAGCGTGCAGTGTGCCTCTGCCGTTCTTGAGGAGAATGCAGATGTCCATGAATACCTCACTGCAAAAGGCTTCCATCACGGGTTTTCCGTGCCACGCTGTTTGTCCCTGGCAAGCTGTCATCCTTTCAGGAAATATCGATGCAAGATAATGCGCCTTTGAACTATTTTTGCATGGAACAGAGTGAGGCCCATACATTCAGCTCGCTGCCGCTTAACAGTCATCGTACTTCAGATTGCTTTAACGATGAGCACTGTTAGGAGATTGTGCCTTCTCACTACTGACAGCTTGCTACGATAGAGTGCAAAAATACTATTTGCTCTGAGGCGCCGCCTTATTCGAGTCTACTGGCCGGTAATCGTTATGCTTGTTCATCGAATAGGGACCGAATTCGCAGACCTCCTCGCAGTGCAGTGAGTAAATCTCGCGTGCAAAACCGTGGTGCCAACATGGAAAAGAATCCCACAGGATCATCGCCGCGCGAAACTCCACTTAACAGAAAATCAAGACCCGAGGAAGCATCCATGCCCAGCAAGAAGAATTTGATTTTCATGAGGGGAGTGCAAGCCACGAGGAGTGTCATTGCAGGGAGTATAGAAGAGCGGAGGCGCAGCTCTCGTAATCTGTATAAGCTTTAATTAACGGATTAACCATAGAGGCAGATAATTATTTTTCTGGGACTGCTATGAAAGCATATGTTCACTGTTGCCCGATACTGTTTGTGAACAAGGCGCCCACTTAGCTAGCCTTCCACCGAGTTGCCTCTACGGAATATTTTCCAGGTGCAGAATATTCCGACGTATTTTTTTTGTCTCAGTGGGTGAGCTGCAAAAGGCGATGCCCTAGGTATCACTGAACTTCCGTTTCTAGAGGGAATGCTCAGGCTTTTTCTCGACGCCGGTGGTGGCACCCCATTTATGAATGAAACAGAAGCCTGAAAACACTGTGCTTCCCAAAACTACCATTTCAGGTGTCCCACTACTAGAGCGGATTGTTACTACTTTTTCCTGAAATCTCATGAGCAAGATTTACCCCAATTTACTCCGCGCGTTGACTTCAATGTGTTGAACCAACCAAGCGAAGTACCAGAGCGTTGACCACTGTGAAGCTAATCAACTCAGCCTCGGCAAAAATAAATAAATGTGTAGAGAGTTGCTTCGAAATGTGGACACAGACCCTTTATTACGTGACGTGCCTACATGGAAATGGAGTGAACCCCTGCAGGCCAACAACAGACTCACTAACTTTTCATGAGCGCTCACCAAACTAATTTGCCCACTGAAGACCGCTGCACGCGCAAATATTTGCCACAATCTAGCGTGAGAAATTCTGGAAACGCAGGTTTTCACTGTATACGAAAAAGGCGGGATCAGTGTGGCCAGGACCATTCCAGTGGCTCAGTGCGGCCAGAGAAAGTACCTCTCATATACGGAAACTCCAAACAATACATATTCATTTGGAAACGAAATATGTAGCAAGAAAAACTGAATGTGCCATCGACCAACTAAGTCCCAGCACTCCTTAGCAGACCGGTTCCAGTCGCACCAGCCCATGTGGGGTTGCGAACCCGCTACAGGGATTCTACCGACCCTATATTCCGAGCAATTGCGCATATTTTGTGTAAACTTGAGCTTGTAGTGGCTCGCGGGTTTTTCGCGTTCATTTCTGGAGCAATCCGCATTGTCAGCATCTTCTCGGAGTTCCAACCCGCTGAGGAGCTGGTGATTAGTTATGTCCCAGTGCCACCTTGAATATTTGGCCCATTCACCGAGCATGTTGTTGCAGTGTAATGGCATAATTTGACAGTTTCTTTCGCTCACTCTATCCTTTTCCTCACAACACTCTGCATGTGCGTACAGAGGTTGTCAGGCCTGCAGACGACTCACCCGGCTACTTCATTCAGGATTCTGAGAAAACAATGCTCATTCTATCTAAAGTGCAAATTTAAGGCTCCGCAGGACCTGACGCCACGCACTTACATTCTTCACTAGCAGTTGCGTACTCTTCGCGACTAATCTGCTCTGCAAAGTAGTTACGGGTGCAATGGAATCACTGTCAAGCCGCGTTGGCTTGGAGGAAACTAGCGCATCTTCACCTCCTTCAGCTCCTTGGCTTGCCGAATGCACGTTTAGTGACGCTGCTGTCACGTATGAGGCCTCCCCTCCCTCGTCGGATACTGGCAAACGCAATGAAAGACATCAAACAAGTTCCCCTGCTAGGAGCGCCTGCCTACAGGGCTTGCCTTGCGATGACCGTGGAGCTCAGACGAAGCCAAATATATTTGGTGCTGCTTGCGGTGAACCCACGGAGCCTGCCTCGGAAGTGGTGGGCCACGATGCAGCGCCTCCAGCAGTCGGCCCACAGGGAGGAAGCCCGGGGATTGAAGTGTCAACTGAATACGTGATGGCGCTGCAGGATGCGGGTCAATTTAATATGTGGGAGCCGGTACTCCGTAAAGTGCTTCCATCTCGGGAGCATTCCCTCTTGCTGGGTCAGATCTGCTTCGACGTGACAGATGGGGACCAGCGAGGCTCTTGGTTGCTACCGGAAGAGCTGCTGGCTGAGGGGATCGCGTCGGTTGGTGAGGATCACGAGGACAGACAAATCTTCACTAACACGCCGGTCAGTGAGGAAGAACAAGAGGCCATAGAACAGGTCCTCTTGCAGCTTCTGGAGTCACAGAAAGCGGATGTCGAGGAGAACACAGCAAGTCGAGACCCCAGCATGATTCTGGGGGTACAACCAGTCTGGTTGGAACAACTCGTGCTGCGGTACCTGTACAGCTGCTCTTTTGATACTCAAAAAACCTTCGACCTTTTACAATCAACACTGTCTTTCCGGAGACAGCAGCTTCCCGTGAGTCTTTGTCATTTGCTCCTGAGCCGCAGCCAAAAGTCCCACACTCGCTCCTGGCTAAATAGGGTCCTGCGTGCCTTCTTCTGCTTCTGTAATTTTGGGTGGATTATCTGTGTTACTATCACATTATCTCCTTGTTGAACTGCTCGACAGGTGCTTGAGTCTGAAGTGTACTATGAGCTGCGGAGCTTGGGCGCATGTTATTGGCATGGAAGGGACAGGAAGTTGCGACCGCTTCTTGTAGTCTCACTGCAAAGATTGCAACAGCTGCAGAGGGACGGTGGAATGGAAGAGAAGGTTACTCGCCTTATCATCTTTTGCCTGGAATTCTTCCTAAGGTAAGCTGACCTGCAGTACTGGCTGCCACTGCGCCGCGGGACTTCATGGTTCAGGAATTCAGTGAGATTAGTAGGTGCTGATGCTTCGTAGACGTGACAAGTGCGGATGCGTGACCTATGTACAAGACCAATGAGCAGTTGATGATTAGACGTTATCGAGGCAGCTCTGCCATTGAGCTTCTATGGCTGTGGCTATTGCGTATGTTTGCACTGGGTTCCTTCAGGTACTTGTGCGTCGCAGGAAGGGTCGAAAGTTGGTGCATCCTGTGTGACCTGAGTGGTATATCCATTTCTAGTTTTCCATTGCCGCTGCTTTTTAAGTTGATGCAACTAATACAAGGATCGTATAGAGGCCGCCTCTATCGTTTTTACATTCTTCACGCACCAAGGCTGTTTCACTTTGTGGCTAAACCACTGGTGGCTTCTTTGCCGTCAACTACAGCAAAGAAACTCCGAGTGTTCACAAGCTTCGATGAGTGGCAGCAGGAGCGGCGAGCACAATTTACTTCTCATCAAATTGAGGAGAAGTTCGGGGGGACAGCTCCGGATGTAACCGAGGTACTAACGACTGCATTTTATTTTGCAGTGTCTCATCGTTAGCACAGTATTTCCTGTAGGCTGATGCATGGACGACAGCGCAGTGCTATAGTTGCCCTCCCCCACCGCGCTGGAGGCGCATGTGGTGCGTTTTGTGCACAGAATTGGTATCCTTTCCGCTTTTACCCGGGGCCGTTTGATCCGGAAGTGGAGAGTAGCCCAAGCGCTGTTGAAAGAGGAGTTGTTCGTTGGGACAGCGAGCCGGCGTTGCACACCAGGGTCCACCCCGTCGTACACTGTGGAGTATCTCTCCACACGTCTATTTTGCGATCCCACAGCCCAGACCGAAGTAGCTCACTTTTCCGATATGCATCTTGGCTGCACCATCTTCCTGAACTGCAGCTAGCTCCAGCGACTGTTGCGTGGGCAAAGAATATGCTTCGCAGTCGCATGGTGGAACACCATGGGTCTCTGGCCGACTATTTGCTACGGAAAGAGAGAGTGGCGCAAGTGTCGAAAGCGGAAAATTCGTCTGGTGAAGCACGTGAAGTTCCTACTGTGGCTTCTCCTTTGTCGCGAACAAGACCCCGTTCTGTTTCTGAAGTTTTCTCCCCCGCCATTGTGTCTCCAGGGACATCTCCCGCTTGTTCGTTTTCTACTGCACTGCGTTCAGCGGAATACAAGGCTGATGCTGCCTGTAGTTCATCAGGGCGGCAGACGGAGGTCTTAGCTTCGCAGAAAAATTCCCATCGAACTTCTGCTTTATGGCCAGGCGATCACTTTTTGAACGATGAGACAGGTGGTACTGCACCCCCAGAAGCAGTGCAGAACCATGCAACCGAACACCGCTCACTTGGTGCAGAAAATGACGCCTTGATTAGGAACAGCACCGCCGTCCAGAGTACCGTGCTTGTTCCCGGGCAAGCAGAGCGATGTGTGAGATCTCCACAAAAGTGTGCGGGGGAAGTCCGGCAGCAAGAGCATGGCACTTCTGGCCCTTCTGTGCTCTGTAGTGCTGGCAGGACCGATGCACCATCAGAGTACTCGCAAGTCCTATCAGAAAGCGCTCACATGGAGGTTCCCTCAGATCGAATACCAAAACATGCAGAGTGTGCCTCGAGCCCCTCCAAAAAGTTGGATAATTTCGGGACCTTAGCGCATGACCGTGCCAGGTGGACTTCAGGCAAATCTCTTGTTCTACCAGAAACCAAACGAAACGATCAGCTTGTAGTCAGGTTTTCTTCTGTGGAGCCGCTAAAACGCACGAACAGTAAGTGTAGCGGAGCGGACTCTGCGGAAAATTCAGGAGCTGTATGCTGTCTTCCGTCACCGGCGGGCTGCACGGAAATACCAGAGCAACAGGAACTATATGCTGAGGCAGAAGTGTATCAGTCAATCATTCCAAGGCAGCTGCAGCACCCTCATTCACCGCTTTCAAGATCAGTGGGTGGTTCCTGTCGGACAGTATCACTTCCAGATGCAAGTGAAGGAGCCTTAGGCTCTCCGTCGAGCGCTTGCTGGCACAATACACCAAAATGCGAACGCACACCGAAATTGTGGCTTTCGTCCAGCGATAGCTTCTTCTCTCTCTCATGCGACGCTCCGAGGGAGGTTCTAAACGCAGAGAGGCTGGCTTGCGCCTTTCTTGAGGGTAGGGCTGACCATGTGGACCAGCCGCCCATATCGATTGCGACTCCAGCTCCTATCTCGAAATCCCCGAAGAATAACGTGGTGGATTCTATCCTCAATCATGGCAGCGTGTCATACCGCAGCAAGCTCAGCAGGACAACATCGTCAGTGGACTTGCAAAAGATCCATATCCAAGGCATTTCACATTTTATTTCTCCGGTTGCACCTGAGCCGTCTCCCTGTGTTTCAACTTTATCTGCTACAGAAAGCAGCATGTCAGGAAGTTGCGTGTTTTGTGAAGGCAGTATAAACTGCCAGGAACTGTCTAGTTCGCGAAAAGACTGGTCCAGCAGTCAAAGGCAAGGGCTTGCAGATCAGTCGTGCGGAGGCACGGGTGGCGGACCCTGTATCTCCGCGCAGCTAATGCACAGACGCAGTTCATCAGCCACGGAGCAACAGTCAAAAGAAACTGCGGGAATTTTCCCCGAATCAGAAACGTCTCGTGTTAGGGAACTCCGAAGGCTAAGGCGTGTGGTGCGAGCACTTTGTAATTCGGTCTCGGGAAATCATCGACATTCGGAAAGGCGGCCAGCGGTTCAGTGTGGGTTACTCGATCAGTGCGACTCGTCTTCACGAGAAACTCGACCGAGGCAGCTGCAAAGACGCTGCACTGGGAAAGAGTTGCACAGGACTGAAGTAAAACAGCTTGAAAAGTATGAGAGTGAAGAGCGGCCTTGTACTGGGCTACGGCGGCGATTCAGCTGCCGCTTGCTCCCACAGACTTGCCGCGCAGAGGGTGCCACTGTCCCAGGAAATATTTTGAAACAAGCGAGTGGAATCCGTCGTCACAGAAAGGCGAAGCTTTACCGGAAGCACCCTGGAGTTATCCCAAAGACGCGTTTTCCTGTCTCTGAGAGTACGTTACGTGCTAGTGAGAGTGACTGCGAACTCTGCGTGGGTGTACCGAGTGATGCAAAGTTGTCTAGGAGTTTCTTCTCAACATGCGGTACATCAAGAAGAATTATTCGGCTGCCAGTATCGCTTTCTGACCGAGTGCGGCGAGGAACGCTAGGGCTTGCTAGGAGAATGCAGGGCAGTGTTCGCCGAAAGGTAAAAGTATAGCAGCATATTTGATCACCGCCGCAGTTGTTACTGAGTCATATTTCTGTTAGGATGACGCCCTTTACTTTGGGAAGCCTAGAGCAACCAGTCTGCCTTTACCCGTAGAGGCTTGCACGCCGCGTGGGATTCTAACTGCTTAGTGCTCGACTTCGAACGATACCCGTGACACCCGTCGCTAGAACGGTTCGACTTCAGTACATTTGATGCTCAAACCTGATTGATGGCGCATTATGCCGTAGCGCCACATCGTGTGTCCGTGCTCATTTGACGTAGGGTCTTCTGGGCTCATGAGATAGCCAGAGTTGGCACGCTGGAAGCCCTGCATTTATAACTGGTTCAGCGGTCCTTGTGGCTCGGTACTGGGCCGAAATTTGGTCCAATTTGCGTCAAGTAGTGTCGCCGCTAACGAGACATTTATCGCTTGCGTTTTCTACATGCCTGCAACATCTGCATGCGTAGTAAGCATCTCAAGTCTTTTGCTGTCCTCTCCCCACCTCCACCTTGGCTAAGTTCCCACCACACTACTGTTTGGGCGAACTGAAGCATTTCCAAGTATTTTGTTCCGTTTGACTGAAGGTCTTGCAGAGTTTTCCAGGAACCAGTACAGCTCTCCTTCGAAGCAGCGAATTTGAATTTTATGCTGTACATAGCTACGCCTTATATGCATGCGAGCGTTGGTACTCATTCATATTGGTTTTATAGGCGATGTGACGACGAGCATCGCGTATAGAACGATGCGGGGTCCGCACACATAACAGAAGTACTGTTTTGTACCACGACGCTCTTTGACGTTTTTGACTGTAAAGTCGTGACATGCAAACGCACTTGTCAGCATCAAGCTCCTCCAAGAAATTTGTTGATGAGCACGCTTTCAGAGACAGGCACAGTCACCTTTGGAAGTTGTGCGTTGCCACATGTGAATGAACCATGTCCGAGCGCGCCACTGCGCTTGTTTTAGCAATGCACAAGGGTTTGTGGAGCCGGACATGAACTACTGTGGTTCCCCACGTCATCACACGCTAAGAGGCCCAAGAAGCCTCGAAATGTGGCTTGCCTTTAGCGACGCCACACGGCGAAGCCTTGCGCGTCTTGCTGAAGACTTCGTGTGCGCGTGGTGTTGCAGCCCTGGCCTCTTGTAAAGTAGCTTCCCAGTTGCTGTAACTTTAAAACGCTTATCGATTGAACCCCTAGACTTCGGCTTCACCGCGGCAACACGAACAGCGCGACGCATTGAAAGGCCTTGTGGAGCAGTCCACCAGACAGGGTTCGAATGACCACCGAGAATTAAGCGTTCATAGCGGGACGGTCTAGGTACGCCCGGGCCCACATAATAGCTGGAAGAATTTACCTGCCGATGCCTACCCACGACATAGTTGAAGGCGGCAGGTGGCGAGAAAGGGTAACGCGTTGACTCCAACCACGCGACGTGACACTGCAGGGGTTCAAACCGTTGTGTGAGGCCTTGCGAATTCACCGCCGAAGTTCCCCTGTTCAGCACGCACCTTCGAATGAAGTGCCCTGCTTGGCTGCTCAAGTTCTCACCACTATGTGTCAGCGCCGCCAAAACTAAAAGTGGCTCTGCACACATTGACGAAGGAAACGCTGCCAATGCTAAAAGAAACAGCGGCAGCAGCCTCCCAATTACCCGCCTCGGCCGTAGGCTGACGCCAGATTTTATCCCGCTTTTTCCCAGCACCCCGGAGTCTGGCTGGTTCGCTTCAATTCGAACCTCAACCGGCTTGGAGCTTCGGTCAACGCTGCACAGTATAGCCTCCTGTGATTGGCAGCTTTCTCTACTTGCTTCCCAACGTTTTGTCTTGGTAGCCGGCTGCAAAGTGTTAAGATATGCTGCCTTTCTGTCAATTGGTGCGACGCGCCGGCCTTCTGCGTCTGCATTTTGAGCCATCCTTTCTCGATGCCTTGAATGCAAGGATACACCTCTGCTTCGATACGATGGTACTGAACATAAAACGCCATCATGATGCCGAGTTGCTGACGTGCTTAGTTCCTCAGAATGTGATGAAGTAGTGGATTGGTCCCCAAGGAAATGGGCGCCTGTCGCTTTATGGGCATGGAACTCAATTTTGCCGCGAGTTTGAGGCACTAGCATCTGCGTCGCAGTTCTTGGCTTCCTCGATTGTAGTCGCGGGCTTCTAACACACTGGCGCCCCATCACTCCTGGTACTGTTGCTTTCCGCTGGATTCCTCCGTACACTCGTCCATCAGGTGGTAAGGCAGGCCGGACTGTTTTCTCCAAGTAGAAGCGTGATGGCGTTTCCAATGTTCCTGCATTGCTGCTTCCGCGCAAATTTGGTGCCCTGGATCCTCCTAACGAAACATCAGGCATGTTTCGCCTGCTTCCTCGCATTGTCAAGCATGTCCGCGCGATGGTCCTACCGCACTTCCCCGCCGCACTAAGGAAGCTGCTGCCTTCGCTGAGATGCCCCGATGAGAGTAACCTGTCTCCGTGATGCGTTTTCTCCACTGAATTATCCGCATGTCGAAAGCCTATACCCTCCTTCTCAGCATCTGATGATAGCTGCACGGAGGATTGACATCCTAGAGCCACCGCGCTGGGCTCGTGCGAGCTTCCATAAAATTTGTTCAACTCAAACAAGGCAGCCCCCAGACTTTCCTCGTTTTTCCCCTCCGCTTTATATAAGCGCGTAACCTCCAGCGAGCTCAAGCCTTTCGCCGCCTGCCCTTCTTCTGGCAGTGTCATACACTTCTCATTCAAAAATATGATCCCGTTAGACAGCGCCTGCAACTTCAAGTCCACCACTCGAGAGATCGCACTGGTTTCACGAGCCATTTGCGCCTCCTCGCGAGGCTTCGCAGCGTTCTCGGAAGTAGCAGTAGTAGTGTGCATCGATACCGAGCGGGCATGCGAAGAATACTGCCGCACCGAATAAAGCTGCTCCTCTAAAGGGGCGTGCCGCCGAGAAGAGACGCTAAACGACCCAGCAACAAGCGCTGCCGCTGAAAGAGATTCAGTAATGAGACAAAAGCGTGCCTTGTGAAGTCGTATCACTGTTATGCATGCCTTTGAGCTGGCGGAAGCGAACATGGTTCTTGCCTGGCTCGCTGCAGATTCCATAACTTTGAAGCTGCCGGCTGGTAATACTTCTGTGTAGCGCGCGAGTGAATCCTCCATTACAGAGTTATGTGACTCACTGCAGTGCGCTGCTATACTCTCTGGCGGCAGTGCAAGCAGACAATCAGGTGCCGAAGAGGTCGTCGAAGATATCTCACAACCTAGAAGTCTCTGCGAAGGGTAACTCTGCCCAGTACATGCTCTAGGTATTTTTCCAGATGTCTTTCTCATCGCAGAAGGTGGCAGCTGCTCAGTTGAGCTCTGTGAGCTGGTACTCACTGTGAGCGGACATGTCTTTGTATCTGAAACCGCAGGCAAAGTCCCGGGTTCTTCGGTAGCTGACTCCTTGCAGACTCGCCCATCTAGATCCACTGCTGTTTCCAACAAGTTCCCTTTCAGATGGCGAATTAAACACTTATGATGCGCCACCAGGTGATGGCAAACCATACGCTTTGCCCATACAACTGTTGTTGAAGCTAACTGCAGTTCAGGAAGATGACGGAGCCACGCTGCATATCGGAAAAGTGAGCTACTTCGGTCTGGGCTGTGGGATCGCAAAATAGACGTGTGGAGAGATACTCCACAGTGTACGACGGGGTGGACCCTGGTGTGCAACGCCGGCTCGCTGTCCCAACGAACAACTCCTCTTTCAACAGCGCTTGGGCTACTCTCCACTTCCGGATCAAACGGCCCCGGGTAAAAGCGGAAAGGATACCAATTCTGTGCACAAAACGCACCACATGCGCCTCCAGCGCGGTGGGGGAGGGCAACCATAGCACTGCGCTGTCGTCCATGCATCAGCCTACAGGAAATACTGTGCTAACGATGAGACACTGCAAAATAAAATGCAGTCGTTAGTACCTCGGTTACATCCGGAGCTGTCCCCCCGAACTTCTCCTCAATTTGATGAGAAGTAAATTGTGCTCGCCGCTCCTGCTGCCACTCATCGAAGCTTGTGAACACTCGGAGTTTCTTTGCTGTAGTTGACGGCAAAGAAGCCACCAGTGGTTTAGCCACAAAGTGAAACAGCCTTGGTGCGTGAAGAATGTAAAAACGATAGAGGCGGCCTCTATACGATCCTTGTATTAGTTGCATCAACTTAAAAAGCAGCGGCAATGGAAAACTAGAAATGGATATACCACTCAGGTCACACAGGATGCACCAACTTTCGACCCTTCCTGCGACGCACAAGTACCTGAAGGAACCCAGTGCAAACATACGCAATAGCCACAGCCATAGAAGCTCAATGGCAGAGCTGCCTCGATAACGTCTAATCATCAACTGCTCATTGGTCTTGTACATAGGTCACGCATCCGCACTTGTCACGTCTACGAAGCATCAGCACCTACTAATCTCACTGAATTCCTGAACCATGAAGTCCCGCGGCGCAGTGGCAGCCAGTACTGCAGGTCAGCTTACCTTAGGAAGAATTCCAGGCAAAAGATGATAAGGCGAGTAACCTTCTCTTCCATTCCACCGTCCCTCTGCAGCTGTTGCAATCTTTGCAGTGAGACTACAAGAAGCGGTCGCAACTTCCTGTCCCTTCCATGCCAATAACATGCGCCCAAGCTCCGCAGCTCATAGTACACTTCAGACTCAAGCACCTGTCGAGCAGTTCAACAAGGAGATAATGTGATAGTAACACAGATAATCCACCCAAAATTACAGAAGCAGAAGAAGGCACGCAGGACCCTATTTAGCCAGGAGCGAGTGTGGGACTTTTGGCTGCGGCTCAGGAGCAAATGACAAAGACTCACGGGAAGCTGCTGTCTCCGGAAAGACAGTGTTGATTGTAAAAGGTCGAAGGTTTTTTGAGTATCAAAAGAGCAGCTGTACAGGTACCGCAGCACGAGTTGTTCCAACCAGACTGGTTGTACCCCCAGAATCATGCTGGGGTCTCGACTTGCTGTGTTCTCCTCGACATCCGCTTTCTGTGACTCCAGAAGCTGCAAGAGGACCTGTTCTATGGCCTCTTGTTCTTCCTCACTGACCGGCGTGTTAGTGAAGATTTGTCTGTCCTCGTGATCCTCACCAACCGACGCGATCCCCTCAGCCAGCAGCTCTTCCGGTAGCAACCAAGAGCCTCGCTGGTCCCCATCTGTCACGTCGAAGCAGATCTGACCCAGCAAGAGGGAATGCTCCCGAGATGGAAGCACTTTACGGAGTACCGGCTCCCACATATTAAATTGACCCGCATCCTGCAGCGCCATCACGTATTCAGTTGACACTTCAATCCCCGGGCTTCCTCCCTGTGGGCCGACTGCTGGAAGCGCTGCATCGTGGCCCACCACTTCCGAGGCAGGCTCCGTGGGTTCACCGCAAGCAGAACCAAATATATTTGGCTTCATCTGAGCTCCATGATTATCGCAAGTTATGCCCTGTAGGCAGGCGCTCCTAGCAGGGGAACTTGTTTGATGTCTTTCATTGCGTTTGCCAGTATCCGACGAGGGAGGGGAGGCCTCATACGTGACAGCAGCGTCACTAAACGTGCATTCGGCAAGCCAAGGAGCTGAAGGAGGTGAAGATGCGCTAGTTTCCTCCAGGGCGACGCTGCGTGACAGTGATTCCATTGCACCCGTACACCCACGCGGCGCAAATACTCACGTGTGGGACGTGCGCAGCAGCGTGTGAAGTATTGAGTTTTTTAGTTTTTTCGAGGTCCTATATTTCGACACCTAAGCAGCTGAACATCATACTCCCCGCATATTGGGGGCGAGTCACAACAAAGATCTCCCGCTTCTGCCGACTGCGCGGGTCGTCGAAGACCTCATCGAGAGCCACAATTATGGGCAAATGCCACTTAATATGTAGCTCCATTGCATATTCTGGCGTGTTGCTGCAGAATCCAGGGATAGTACATCACCAAGCTCTTGAACTTAGGACACTCTAGGGGGATCAACACCACATGCTGGATGCTGTGGTATCAAGGCCACCTGAATGGTCTGTTTCTATCTCAGTGAAGCACTTGTACGATATATCAAAGCCCAATCTTAACTCTGAGTTTTAATTTCACACAGTTGTATTGAGCGCGTAAGCTGGTCATGCAGACTGTGTACAGAATGGGATGGGGGCTTGCCTCCTGAAAACATTCGATTGATACTTTTCTAGCCTTGGACACTCGATTTGAGCCGTTCGCCTCACCGAAGTCGTTCAGTGTGCTGTTTCAGTGCATCGCTATTTCGAGCTTCAACCGTGGATCCAGCCTGTTTCTTCTCTTGTTGCTGTACGTGTCGCTGATGGATTGGTGGCCAGAGTCCGACTGATTGGCTCCTATCGAAGCGAGGCGTCAGTGAAACACGCCAGATCTACAGGTCTTCTATTGTGGTATAGCAGTCGTGAGTAATTGCCAGTATGTGCGTGCTCTTCAAATGCGTTTTCCAACAGGATACTTCCTCAACCGGTCCTGTGGGGTCTCAGCCTGAGACGACAACACTGGAAGACGCTGACGGACGTGTCCTGCCGTTCCCCTTAGGTCAGGCTCAGCTGCGCTCCAAGCAGCGCGATAATTGAAGATGCTCCCTCCCCAGTTTTTGTTGTAACGTCAGAGGAGGCACCCATTTTGCTTGGCTCAGCTTTCGAGCTGTTGCACGTGCTAGACTGCACATTGCGAGGTTACGAAACTAACGCTAACAAGGCTGAGTTCGAAAAATATTTTCACAAGTAGGGCTTTAAACTGTGTAAGAAGACAGGCCCCAAAGGATCTATTGGTTTCACATTCCCGGCAGCGAGAAGGTTATTTGGCGATCGCCAATGGCTCCGGGTGCAATCGCAGCAAACCGCGATGGATACCATTTCACACAGTATGAGGAATCGCCACTATCGCCTTTCTTTCATTCATTTTTTCCGCATAATAGTGGCCAACGGGCTATGGTTTTGAGGCCTACGAAGGGCCGGCACGGACTACAAGAACAGAAAACCCAGGTGCTTGGACCTAAGTCTACAGGCATTGAAGCCGTCTCCATAGCGGCAAATGCGGTTGGCTCTGGAGGCCCATATACAAACACAATGTTAAACTAGTTGATGTAGCGCCAACACGGGCTCCCGGAAAATAGTACACGCAGACACAGCAAAGGGTAAAAGAGCTAACATCAGTAAGAAGCAAGTATGTAGCAGCAGAGCTACGACCAACGGTTGACTTCTGTAGAATTTGCAGCAGCGCAAGGCTCATGAAAAGAAGCAGAGAATAAGTGAACAGAGCAATACAGGAAGCGGACCCTAACGCAAGAGCAAGGGGATGCCAAAAATGCAAGTGCTTTATCAGTGCCCAAGGCTCATGCTGAAAGAAAGAAGCGCACCTTGCCAGAGAAATTGTTGGCTAGTGCGACGGCCGTCAGCACGCAGGCCAAGGGAGAAGGCAAGGCAGGGAAACCGTATGAGCAATTCGATGTAGTGGGATTGAAACCCGCTGCTGTAGTCCGCAGGCATTACAATAGTGCTTGCTGGCGACCTTAAAAAGATGGATAGCTGGTAACCCATAAGAGTTTAAAACGCTGAAAGAGGACAGGAACTTCTTACTAGTAGCGAAGTATGGCAGTTTATCAGCAAATTAGCAAACATAAACTAGACCTATCTGTGAATGCCTGGAGATTGGGGCTGGGGATAGCCCCGGCACCGGTGCAGGCCTCCTACCCACAGGGCCAAGGAAGCAAGAGCCCTGAATGCGAGGACTTCTGAGGAAAATTGATTTCAGAACTTGAGAATATGACTACATTTATTGATATTTTGGTATTTGTTTAATGAGAGATTCGTCGAAGGTAGAAGATTTTTCTAGGGCGACATACACGAAGCCCCACCCACTAAAACTAAGGCCGGGCTAGTAAAACTCAGCAAATCACCCGTGTTCGGCAGCGCTTGCACTCATGCCCAAGTGGGCCAGATAGCAGCGTAGTCGCAGCAGTTGGCGCTGTGCACTACAACTGCAGTGGTCGAGCGAGTACTGTGTCGGCACACGATGGACAGGGGCTATTATGCAGCGTGTTAAAGACAGCTGTGCTTGACTTCTAGATACTTGGGCATGAGTGCAAAACGCTGCCAAACACGGGTGATTTGCCGAGTTTTACTAGCCCGGCCTTAGTTTTAGTGGGTGGGGCTTCGTGTATGTTGCCTACACAAGGCCTGCCGTTTTGCCGCTTCACCATAGCAAATAAAGGGTAGCTACATAAAGGCTATGTAAAATCTCTAGCCACCAATATTTCTTTTTGGAGCCTGTAGCTTATAAGATTGAAGTTGGCTCGCTGGTGGGCCATGAAGTAGCCTGGTACTTCCAGCTTGATAAGCGATGAGCCTACGTGGGCAATCTGTGTACAATACGCGCATCAAGTGAATGTAAGAAGCAAAGAAGCAGGAAAAAACGCAACAGAAGGCGAGGAGGCAGACTTCTGCTGAGAATGCTTACGACCTGCAGGCCCAGCAAGTGTCCCACATGGCTGCGGCAGGGGTGATAACACCCCTTTACGCTACCAGGAAACGCTAAAAGGGACGCCGCGAAGCCAACTCTGTAGCTGTGAAGGCGCTCCAGTGACCAGGCTCGAGCTACGCCGAACTCAATGGAGCTCACTTAGGAGGGAGCATATGCATTTTTTCTTGCTTCTCCTGTCGAATATGACTCTCTACCCCGCCACAGAGTTGCTGAAGCACTTGATCGTTCGTGGTTGAAGATGCGGTGTCACAGCACCCATAATCTCAAGAACGCTGGCAGTAAAATAGGTTCCAGTTCCTCAGGACATCAACGACAGAGAATTTCATTGAGAAATGGCTGGTCGTATTATTCGACAAAAAAGGGACGCTCCCTCTTCAGCTTGTCAGACTGAGTGTAACAAAGCATCTATTTCACGGAACCGTTGAGTCAATTTTAGTGTTACGCTCGGCTTGTCCACCGCTCTGGGTTGGTAGAAGGAGGATATGGGCTGATTGATGCTTAGCGGATTGTAGAGCTGCTGTAGTGCACAGCGCCTACTGCTGCAACTACGCTGTTACCTGGACCCCGAATAGGGCGCCCTATGAAAAACCTTCTACCTTCGATGCATCTCTCATGAAACAAATACCCAAATATCAATAATCGCTGTCATCATTCAAGTCCTGAAATCGGTTCTCCTTAAGAGTCCCCGCACTCAGGGTTCTTGCTTCCTTGGCCCTGTGGGGCGGTTGTAGTGCACAGCACCTACTGGTGCAACTACGCTGCTACCTGTCCCCTCGAGTAGGGGTCTATGATAACCGTCTACCTTCGGCGCATTTCCTTGAAACTGTAGCCCAAATATCACGAAATACAGTTCTTTTTAGTTGTTTAAAATCTATTTTCTTGAAATTCCCCACCGACTCGGGGTTCTCGCCACCTAGGCCCTGTGAGGAGGAGGCCTGCACCGATTCCGGCGTTATCGCCAGCCTCAATATCCACGTATTTACAGGCACCTCTAGTGTATGCATGTTAATTCGCAGACAAATTGCCATACTTTGATCCTGGTAATGGGTCCTGTCCTCCTCCAGTGCTTCGACCCCTTGTAGGTCGCTAGCTAGCTATCTTCTACAGATCACCAGCAAGCCCTATTGTAGTGCCTGTGAACTACAACTTCCGCCCTTGCCGGATTGAACAGGCCTACTCAAAACACATTATTTTTGCCTTTTCAATCTCTATGCTCTTCTAAAGCTAACGCCGTGAGCGCACGCGGCGCGCAGCGTTCCCTCCACCCTCCATATTGAAGGGTGCCCGTGCTGCAGGCGGTGGAATGTGACGGACCCAAACCTCTACCCCTCGGAAGGACCAAGATTGTTTCGAGCCTGAAGACGTCTTCGTTGGCGGCGGCGCCTAGTGAGAAGCAAGGCCGGACAGCCTGTAAGGTGGTGAGCGGGCTCCCATATGGCTTGATCTTCAGGGGTCTCGCGCTACTTGACGAGGTACTGGGCTTCATCTCCCGAGCCGCGTTGGTCCATAATGTAGTCGACTTCGGATTCCTCTGTTGATTTGCCTGCGGCATCGCGGATAGGAGTCCAGGCGGCGTCAGCTTCCGGGGGAACCAAATCGGGAGGGCGGGAACGGTGGGGAGCTAGCTGCGAAACGTGGAAAAAGTTATGGCATTCATAGGTGGGAGGCACAGCGAGACGGTAAACGACGGCTCCTATGCGTTCGATGACTTCAAAGGGTCCGCGGTAACGAAGTTCGAACTTAGGGCAGCTGTTGAAAGGCGGTAAGTGCTTGCTACTGAGCCAGACCTTGTCTCCCACTGCATACTCCACTGCTCTGCGCTTTGTGTCTGCGGAGTACTTCTGCTGCCATTTTGTCTTCAGGATGCGACTCTGTGCTCTGTCGCAGAGCTGCCGGAAAAACTTAGTTATCGGAGGAGTGAGCGTAGGAGCTAACGCGCCTACGATATCAAGGTCCGCAGCAGTCAACGGATTCTCGCCATTCATGACCTCGAAGGGAGAGAGCTCGGTGGATGAATGACTTGTTGTGTTGTAAGCAAGTTCCAAGGCCGGAAGCAAACGATCCCACTTGCGTTAGTCAGATTGGATGTAGGTACGAGGCATCTGCTCCAGTGTGCGGTTAACCCGTTCAGTTTGACCGTCGCTTTGGGGATGGTAGGACGAGGACATGCACCGTTTGATGTTAAAGCGGCTGCAGAGTTGTTTCCAGAGATCCGAGTGAAAGCGCGGGTCGCGGTCCGATATGAGCACCTCAGGAAAGCCGTGATAGCAGATAAGACGGTCTGCCAGAAGCGCCACGGTGTCAGCTGGTGTGAAGGACTTCTTTGCAGGAACGAAGTGAGCCATCTTGCTGAGGGAGTCGACCATGACAAAAATCGAGTCATGCCCTGTCGTTGTAAGGGGAAGATCTGTGATAAAGTCAAGACCCACGTGCGCCCACCGACAAGAAGGGATGAGCAACTGTTGAAGAAGGCCTGCAGGCTTCTGGTTAAGGGACTTTGACGCTCGACAGTGAGTGCATGATTCAACGTAAGCAGTAGTGTAGGCGCGCATTCCTGGCCAGTAGTAGTGCTTGCTAAGAGCCGCAAAGGTCTTCTTCTGGCCTCGATGGCCGGCTGTGACATGGTCGTGATGTGAATGCAGAACTTGAGAAAGGAACTCAGGGAATGGGACGCAGATGCGCCACAGTCCATGAACGCGGATGTGCAGGTAAGGCTCTACGTAGCGAAAGGTGAACTGGCGATTACAAAACTCGATTTGCAGAGCTTCTCCTGGTTGGTTTGCTGCGGCTTTGTGGGGAACGCGAAAAACAGGACACTTCGAGTAAGCTTGCGGCCACTGGCGCACATCAGGAGGGTCAGCTGGTGTCATCGTTGTAAGGGTAGGGTGTTCCGCCTCTGGATTGGGTTCCGGCAACGAAGGTGAAGGTGCGGACGACAAGCTGCGTCGTCTGGGTCGTCGCGAACGAATTCCGGTGAGCTCCCTGTAGTTGGCAGGCCAACCACGAGAGCGGGGAGCCGCGCTCCCTTCCTATCCTATTGCGAGCATCAGTGGTACCGATGGTCTGTCGGGCGAGCAGGCGTTAGGAAGACCGAGACGGCAAGACAAGGCATCAGCAACTTGATTGCGCGTTCGTTGAACATAAGTGATGTGGAAACCCGGGAACTTGGCCAGAATATCTAACCACCGGGCGGTGCGTCCGCGTAGAGGCTTCGATGCTTGGAGTCGTTGGAGATGGGTGAGAGCTTGATGATCAGTGTAAGCCGTTACCGTGGAAACACGGAGCAAGTGCGACCACTTGTCCAGTGCCGTGACCAACGCCAAGAGTTCCTGTGTTGCGTGGGGCTCATGACTTGGCTGAGGAAGCAGATGGGTTTGCCATCTTGTTCCAGAACTGCTCCGATTGCATAACCAGAGGTAGGTCTGTCGAAGGGTTTCGTGGTGTCAGGGACTTGTAGTGTAGTGACGTCAATTAAGCGCTGTTTGAGCTGCCGCACCACTTTCGTGTGAAGCTCTGTCCATTCGAAACTGATGTCTTTACGCGTAAGATCAACCAGCGGCCGGCCAACGTCTGCATAGTCCGGTCCCATGAACATGCGACAGAAACTTATGGTACCGAGGAACTGGCGCACTTGCGTTTCGCTCTCCAGCTCCTCTGGCCAATGCTGGATGGCTTCGATTTTGTCGTCTACAGGTTTGATCCCCGCAGCAGGAATGGCATAACCCAAATATGTAACTGTTTGCCTTGCAGACTTGCATTTGCGGAATTTTGGGTAGAATTGATATGTAAGAAAATACTTAGGACTTGTCGCAGGAGAGAAACGTGCCCAGAGAGATCGGGACTATAGACAAGTACATCATCTAGGTACGCAATAACGCCCTGTCCCAATAAAGGTTGTAGATAGGCATTAATATTGGCCTGGAACGTAGCGGGAGTGCCCTCAAGGCAAAAGGGGATTACTCGGTACTCGAATAGTCCAAGAACGGACCGGAAAGCCGTCTTCCACCGGTCTTCCTTAGCCATACGTGTTTGATGGAATCCTGCTTCAAGATCCAAAGTGGAAAAATGCTTAGCACCTCCCAGCATCTCTAGAATGGTTTGAATGGGAGGCAGTGAAAATCAGCGGCTATCGTAAGGGCATTTAGAGCCTGGTAATCGACAACCATACGCATCCTCCGCTTCCCGGAGCCATCACCACGTTTGTCCACCATGATCTTAGGAGAGCAAATAGGCGAATAGGTCGGTCCGATTCAACCATTGTCCGATAATGTAGCTCCCTCCTGTTTGTGGAATGTGAGCTGATCTGGGGTCATACGGTATATTGCAGACTTCGCTGGAAGTTTTCCAGGCACACTTAGAATATGGTGATCATGAGGGCGTTTCGCCGGTAATCCCTTAGTTGATTTGTCGGGAAAGACCACTCGATACTCCTGCAACACCTGGACAATCTCACATGGAATATCCTGTGCCTCTGTCGAATTTATCCATTCGTCGAACAGAGTGTGCTCGAGTTTTGCCATAGGCCAGGGAGACTCCTCGTCACTCTCCGCTGCCGCCAAGGCGATTGAGGCCAAAGGACTAGTCCAGCCGGAGGACGTGGGTTGATTCCCAATTAACGCGCAACAAAGGGCGCCTTGCCATTCATCCGAGAGCCTTAGGGGCACCGCCGAACCGGCTTCGGGCAAAGCCAGTATGAGATGCAAACCGTGCAGTGAAGCGCTGAGACTCTTTGTGTCGGCCGCCGCCTGACGAACGAGCGACGTTATCCGCGCCTTTGCTTTAATCTTCGCGTGGGACTCATACCTCCTTGGAGGCGGGCGTAGGAATATAGCTGCCTGCTTGCTCTGCCGGGGTCCTTGGGTGGACTACGGTGGGACTGTCACCTTGCAGCTTTGCTTCACCAGCCCTAACGACCGGTAACTCGCACCACTGGTCATTCACATAGGTTCGGAGTTTGGAGTACTGGAAATACCAGGCCACCTTATGTGCCGTCAGCCAATCCAAACCCAAGACTAAGTCATAGGGAACGGGTCCCACTAAAAAGTCCCCGGAAAAACGTGCATGTCCGCACCACATCGTCAATCCCGTCACAACCCGATCAATGCGTAGTTGTTCACCTGTAGCTACGGTGAACAACTTTCAGCTGCAGTCGTTCGACTATTTTAGGACTAATGAAACTTCTCGAAGCCCCAGTGTTCAAGAGGGCCTCACAAGGACTCCCTGCGAGCTCAACGCGAAGTACCGCCGTCGCACCCACACAACACAACGCTCCCCCTTGGTCGTAAGACTCTTTCGTGCAAGTCTCCCTCCACCAGTGTGGCACAATCTCTGTCGTGTCTGACCTATAGCCGTCTTCTGTTGCGTCTGCAGACTTCCTGCTGCTGTCCGTCGTCGCTTCCGGAGTCTTTTCACTCAGGGTCGACGCTGACCCAGACTCCCGCCGCGTTTCCGAAAATGGCTGAGTCCCTTCCGCGTGCCCATCGCTCGTGTTAGTTCCTTCCGCATTGCTGAGGGGTTGGTTTCCCCACTCAAGGGAGACTGGAATGGCATTCGGGCCTGTTGCTACCGCACACATCATCCCTTTGCTACGGCTACGCGGCCTAGAACGTTCGTCTCCAACCACACCTAGGCCCGCACGTTTAATCGTTCCGTCTTCTCAGTGCTAGGACGGGTGGGCTCCCTACTGTTCTTGTCCGCCTGCACGGGCTGGCCTCGTTCATACGTAGGACAGTCCCGAGTATAGTGTCCCACACCGCCACACTTCTTGCATATTTCCCCCGGACGTTCGGTACGTTCCCCTTTTCTGGGGCAGACACGTGCCGGATGTCCACGACCCTGACACTCAAAGCAGTTCGCGTGGGTTCCCCCAGGGCGATTTTCAATTTCCTGGCGCCCACGGGGTCCATTAGCTTGGACAGCAGCCCTAATGGCTCGACTGGTCCCTTCTCGGAGTTCCAGGACACTCTGCTTGGGCTCGTAGAGCCGTGTTGCGGCTGTCGCCGCCTGTTCCCACGACTGACATGTCACCTGTCCGTTATTGGTTATTAGAAGGTCTGTCGGTAGCCCGGTGCAGTAATAGTCAGCAAGTTCGTCGGGGGCAAGACCCAAACCACGCTCCGCTACAGCCGCAAACCGGTCCGTGTATTCCTTCGGGTTACCATTCCACCGTACTTTATCCAACTCCGTTAACAATTGACTCTGCGACATTGTTTTGTCAAACCGCTCCAAAAGCCTGCGCTGTACTGTCGCCCAGTCGCTTAGGTCGATAGTTCTCCTTAGATACATCCAAGACGTTAGAGCCGGGCCCACAAGGTGGTCAATAAGTGCATCTCTCCACTCGCGCGGCTCCAATCCCATCTGGGTGTACCGGCGCTCGATGCGCAGCAGAAAGGCCTGCATAATGCTGCCGTCTTCCGGTAGTATGGGAATCGTTGCGCCCGATTCCACGTTCCCCCCTATAACAGTTCTTATCACACTCATAGCGGACTGGAATTTGTAGTGCACACGCACTACAATAGGGCTTCCTGGTGACCTATAGAAGATAGCTAGCTAGCGACCTACAAGGGGTCGCGACACTGGAGGAGGACAGCACCCTCTTACTAGGATCAAAGTAAGGCACTCTGTCTGCGAATTAACATGCGTACACTAGAGGTGCCTGAAAATGCGTGGAGACTGGGGCTGGCGATAGCGCCGGCACCAATGCAGGCCTCCTCCCCACAGGGCCTAGGAGACGAGCACCCTGAGTGGGGCGAATGGAAAGACAAAAGATTTTGGAAAACTTAAGAATGACTGTATTTCGATATATATAAGCTACTGTTTCAAGGAAATGGGCCAACGTTAGGTGCCGATCATAGGTCCTGCTCGAGGGGCAGGTAGCAGCGTAGTCGCAGCAGTAGGCGCTGTGCACTACAGAATTGGTCCCACGTGACGAAGGGACTCTCCCGTGGCATAACATTGGTCATAGGTATCATCTGCGGGGACGCCTGCGGCCGCTCTGCCACGGTGGGCTTCGGACTAGCATGGCAATGATGGGCCGGCGTCCCGCTCGGCATTTTGTTGACTGACATTGTAGAAGTCTCCTGCGGTGTGGGGCCGATAACGCGTCCGTTGCGGAGATGCATCCCTTACCGAGCGAATATTTCTAGGCGTGAGTTGTTAAAACATAGTATTTATACTCCCAAGTCCGGAAAGAACAAAGATTTCATTCGCGGAACGGCCCCCAAATGTAGTGCACAGCGCCTACTGCTGCGACCACGCTGCTACCTGCCCCTCGAGCAGGGCCTATGATCGGCACCTAACGTTGGCCCATTTCCTTGAAACAGTAGCTTATATATATCGAAATACAGTCATTCTTAAGTTTTCCAAAATCTTTTGTCTTTCCATTCGCCTCACTCGGGGTGCTCACCTCCTAGGCCCTGTGGGGAGGAGGCCTGCACTGGTGTCGGCGCTATCGCCGGCCCCAGTCTCCACGCATTTTCAGGCACCTCTAGTGTATGCATGTTAATTCGCAGACAAATTGCCTTACTTTGATCCTAGTAAGAGGGTCCTGTCCTCCTCCAGAGTTGCGACCCCTTGTAGGTCGCTAGCTAGCTATCTTCTATAGGTCACCAGGAAGCCCTATTGTAGTGCCTGTGCACTACAGGGAGGCCTGCACCGGTGCCGGCGCTATCGCCAGCCCCAGTCTACACGTATTTTCAGGCAATTCTAGTGTATTCATGTTAATTCGCAGACATATTGCCTTACTTCGGTCCTGGTAAGAGGGTCCTGTACTCTTCTAGTGTCACGACCTCTTGTAGGTCCCTAGCTAGCTATCTTCTATAGATCACCAGCAAGTCCTATGCTAGTGCCTGTGCACTACAAGTCGAGCCCATCCTACAGAGGCCTCTAGGGCCCTGCTTGCGGCACGCACTTGATTCTTGCAAGAAGCGTGGCACTCATCTTGTCGTTTCCCTGTCATTCACCCTCACTTTTCAATCAAGTTATCGCCTAGTGCTTCTTCTGATTTTATTTCTCGCCTAGTGCTTCTTCTGATTTTATTTCTGGCGACTGGGAGGGCCTCCATGAGGCCGGCCAAGAAGGTATATTCGCCCTTTGAGCGTGCCGTAAGTTACTCAATACAACGAACACACCTTTGCCTAGAAAATCTTGAAATGCTTCGTTCACTTGGTAAGCCTTTAACTTTGTTCCCAGCGCCTTAAACCGCAGCGTCCGCACAGACAACGTTAACCAAGCCTTTGGCGGTGTTCAGATCTTACCGGTCAACTTCAAGGCCAAGGCTTGTAAGTTCTGCTTTTCAATTTTCACGCGCCTTTTTTATTGCCCCTCTTTATTTCAAGCAGCCAAATTTTAATCAATAATACTACAGATTAAGTGCCAGCACCAAGCATCCGCACATCTTACATGTGCTCCTGCAATGGAACTCTACGAGGATACGCCGCATAAGACGAAATATTAGCAACTAATAGCTCTGGACATCGCTAATCCTTTATATAACGCAGGGAGTAGCAACTAGGGACCAACTAAGATCAGAGCCCTGACTATAAAAAGCTCTAACGTGAACAGAACTGTTCTTTCCCTACGCCCGGCGCTAAACACTTAGGGTTTAGGGTTTAGGGTTTAGGGTTTAGGGTTTAGGTACACCGTCTAAGCACTCTCAGTGAAGGTGGAAGGGGAAAATCCCGGGACTGACATGGGGGATCACTGTTATGCCACTTAAAGACCTCAATACATTTCTTCTTTAACAGAAAAGATGCGCATTCGCTGTTGACACGAGTGCGCAGCGAAGTAAAGCGTCCGTCCTTATGTGAGCAATGCCTAGTTGTACGTTGTCACCAAAAAAGACCAAAGCCCAAAATGTTTGCAAATAAGGGCACCTGAACACTCATGCATGCAAACATGCCAATAATTTAAGGGAGAGAATTGCAAAAGTGGTAGCCGAGCGCTAGTATACCTCTGCATATCATCAGGACTAAGGGCACAGAGCTCATGTCATCCCTAAAGTCTCCAGGACTCTTCGCTCCCACTGTCTACTGCAGGGAAAACCATATATTAATTACCTTAACTCTTCCTTCACAATTCACGAACCTGCGTGCAAGCCTGCAAGATGTTACGAACGCTCTCGGAGTAAGGGGGTTACCTCTCCAGCTTGCAATGCGCCTGCTGATAAATTGATTTCGTCAGTTTGGCATGACTTTCCTTTCTTTTTTGTCTACTTAAAGTCAACCGATAACAATAAATGGTCCTTGCGCTTTTGTTTAAACATTGACTCACTGCGCTGTGGACAATCGAGGAGTAAAGGCACCGTCTACCGTTGCTTGCTGTTGTCTCAGATCCCACTCATGAAGAAAATTGAAACAGAATTTGGCCTTCTAAGTTCTGAAACTTCAATTACTTGCGCTTCAGTCATGCAGGCAAGTTAAGTGCAAGCTTAGCTTCGCGGTGTTCACAGAGACTGTGAGCGATCAGCGCTACGTGCGTTGCAGAAGCGCATCCCCATTTTACGGGTGTGCCGGAGGTAAATGACTCCAAGTTCCAGACTGCTTCGATGAAAAACCAAATACACTTGCATTCTGATTCTGATTTAGTTTGCAGAGGTGAGGCGCAAAAAAAAGAACTCTATCACGAGTGTGTCCAAACAACTAGGCAAAGCGTTGGACCACGCGCAAGGAAGGAATTTTGCAGCTGAAAAACTGTGCTTCACCCTAAATGGAGCTCTAAACCACAATAAAGGAACGAAAGCTAGAATGAATGCCGTGTTTATTATATCTGGCACTCCAATGCTTTCTCGTTGAAACAGGTCACGTGCGGGGATCGTGGGGTGGCGCACAGAACGCATGGCAATGACGTAGGGTGATGGCACCTCTGCATGCTCTGCCTCTACCAAGACTTCTTCACATTAAGGTCAACGTTTATTTCGCCTTTTTTATTATTTTGTTGCCTTTTAGCTTTTCATCTCACCTCAATTTTCCAGAAACAGTTATTTCTAGGATGGTGGCAATAGCCTGTCACAGCCTCGCGCTGTTGACAATCGCTGCTTGCGCAGTTACGGCTTTGGGGGCCGATGAAGTAGAGGGAGGAAATCAAAATGTTGCTGCTCAAGTATCTGAGACAAATGAGGGTCAAGCTGTTATTCCAGGTAGAAAGGGAGTCAATCCCGTGCTTGCTGGCGCAGCCGTTGGCTCGACTTTGTTTCTTGCCCTTCTCTTGTTCGGCTTGAAGGTGCTCGGCAAAAAGGTTGTCCAAACAGATTCCAAGGTGGGAAGTGCGAGTGCATCTTGACATGTGCTTATACAGAGTATGAGACATCGATTTGGCTCCTTCTTCCTTTCTGAGCACAGTCCTATGTGCCACGCTTGTTGTGTTCCGCAGACGGCCGGCTCAAAGGTTGCAGAAGTAGTTTTTTCCGGTGTGGGTGCGTGTACAACCATAAGTCCTTGCAGCCATTTTTAGACTTACTTGCCTGTCGACGTCCCCCGCATAATGTGTATCAGTGCCTCCTCTGATGATGTATGCAGACGGCTTCACTCTGTCCACTGAGGCATACACTGCCTGGGTTGAAGTCATATATGAGGTGCGTAGCAGTACAGCGTCTGCATGCCGTCAGTAAAATTTGGCGATTTGTATTGTTTGGATGCGCTCTATGGTGCAACGCGGAAGAGCGGGTCGATGTGTCCTCAGGGGAAAGCAAAGCAGGCATTGAAAAAATTACAAGGAAGCGCAAGGGAGTCATGTCTTAAGAACAGCGGACGCTCCATTCAAAGATTCCTTCAAACCATTAAATGTGGGTATCAGTTTACGGTTTGCTTGATAAGCGTCGCCAACTTGGCTGTGAACCTTGTCACTACTTTGATGCAGTCTTCCCCTTGTTGTCTTCAGCGGAAGGCGAAAGATCCTTTCTTCTCCAAGTAGGTGACGAAGAAATCGTCCTTGCATTTGATTTGAGGGTCATGCAGCCATAATGGAAACAAGGTGGAGCGAACACGTCTCCCAATGGCGATAGCATTCTTCGTCATAAGTTCCCATGCGGGTGGTAGGAGGTGGATTGGGAACCATGACAGTGGGCACCGATTGACTTGTTTGTAAATTTCGAGATGAATTCGGGCATTTTCTTAGGCTTGGAGGTCCGAGGCTTGCGCTGCACAGGGTGTTACCCCCGACGCATTTGCCTGTCGGGCCCCCTCTCGGCAGGGGAAATTATGTGCAACTTCGTCGCATTTACGTTGACTCCCCGTTTTTTTTTCGCAGCCAGCTATCATTGCAGTTTTTAAATAGGAGAACCGGGGGTTCCTCTCCCGCTTCCCTGGATGTTGTCTGCTTCCCTTCTCTCCCTCTGACTTACAACCACAGGAGACGAGGCAGATGGGCCTCGTCCGTTTATATATTTATTGTAGTTTGAAAGTCGTCATTCATTTCTTAGTGCTTAGTGCTTAGTAGTGTGGCAACGTGCGGAATGCGCACTTACATCTTGGAACGGTGAGGACCCTGTAAGGAATGTGCATCGACCACCAGCGTGCGTGGAGACAAGATCGCATACGCTTTTGTCAATGAAAGCATGCATAGCTCCTCCGCCATTGAGCTTCCGCATGTAGATATGGTGATGACACTGTAGGGAATGAGCATCTACCGCCAGAGTGCGTGGAGGCGAGAACGCATACGTTTTTGTCAGTGAAAGCGTGCATACCTCCCCCGCGATTGAGCTTCCGCATGTTGATGTGGTGACATACTACCTGTGCTCCATGAGGGAGCTTGTCCTCACAGTCATCATTGGAAACTTCTTGTGGGGCTGCAAGTTGTTTAAGCTCAAGAACCAGACACTAATGCTCCACTCCCAAACAGTCGCAAGCATACATCATATCCCCCATGGCGCCTGCTGCCTTTTGCTGAATACTGAACGCGGTGCGGGCATTCTTCCCATTAAGCCCTTGGCCAAAGTACTTCTACAGCTCGCTGCCCAACGTAAGGTGAAACTGCATGTTCTTCCTTTGCCACATTTGATTGTGCTTTTGTTTCACTGACTTCTATGTATTGCTAAAACTGCCTGAAAATTTTCTCCGCAAATAGGTAGCTTTTGAAGCCCCAGCCCTAGAGTGGTCGTCCAGCATGCAATCAATCTTCGGCTTCATCTGTAGACATACTTTTCGGACCCACAGATGGAAATGCTTCAACTCCACCCCGTGGATGCTCGATATTTTATGGGACATCTTCAAATGCTGAAGGGTTAACATCGTTGTCATTTGAGCAGCATCGAGTGTGGTGACACATAGTCAACAAGGCCCAGCTCAACCCGCCCTGCAATTATGACCATCCAGATCTTGTGAATTTACGTTGTTTCTCAATGGAAAACCACCACTGTCTGCGTACCTTGGGAATCTGGTTTATGGTGTGCAGACACCCGGAAATCACGGAGCTACGGACGTGACTCCCATGGGTTTCATCATTTCGATTTATCTTTTTCCAGCAACTGAGTTGTCACACAGCGCTTTTTCTGTTCTCTTTACAGGCTAAACAATAAATTTTGATGGAAAAGCTGGTTTTGGGACCGCGTATAGTACAACTAACTGAAGTTACCGGCGCACTAACTACCAGATGGGACTTCCTATGTGCCTGGTGATACCTGAAGGGTTTAGAAATTGTGCGGCAGCAAAATACTGTTCCGGAACGGTGTCGCTTGTTTTACTTCTCGCAGTGGCTTTATGCTCGGGGGGTGGAAGGGAAGTATCAGCGGCACTGCTGTCTCGCCCCACGATTGAACACCTCGCCGCCCGTCGCGAGCTGCTCGGGAGCTTCTCTCTTCTTGGTACAAAATCCTTGCGCACTCCTGCAGCATGCCGTAGCAGAGTCTGTACCTCTATGCCGCATCATCGGAGCGTGCCTGCAGTACTGCCTTCGTGGAATTCGTCAATTCCAGAGCATGCGGAGGCTATGATGTCCGGGGAATGGGATGTCCACTGGAAGGCACAGAATGGCGATGCGGGAGGTATACCAGACGTGTCCGCAGCAAATGCAGCGGCAGAAGCGATAAGGAGCGCCGCTGGAGCTAGCGAAGCAGAAGCTTTTTCGCGCCTCTGGGAAGCTCTGCGGGGTGGGAAGCTTTTGTCGTTGTCCTTGTCCAACAACCGTGTGGCAAGTTTAAGAATTTTGCGCAGCTGGCCCGTGAACAACACCCTGTCCTTTAGGGGTATATGGCAGGTTAGGGCGAGGCCTTTCCTCCCTACTGTCCTAGAAGTAGAACTGGGGTTCCCTTCCGAAGTGCCGGAAGTCATTTTGGTTTTACGTGCGCCCCTTAAAGCTGGATTCTGGTTGAGACAGGTCCCCCAGCTGGTGTCCGGAGATGCAAGCCTTTCCTTTTCACCTTTCTTTCCCTGGAACACCCAACGTCTGGGGATTGTGGCAATCAGTCCACGGAGAAAGAACCCAACGGTTGACACGATGCTCCAGTGAATGTCCGTTCTTATCGGGAAGGTCAACCAAACTTACGTGTACAGCGCACGCGTGCAAACCGCGCAGTTTGTCCACAGCCAGGCAACCGCTGCATTTGCTCATCTTGCTCGTGAATCAAGAAGGGATGAAGGCAACCGTGTGGCACGGCGTACGGGGATTTCAGGTTCCACCCCACCCCGACATTCTGCTGCACTTAAGGGCGGAAATATAATTGATGGCATGCGCATGCATGTCGCACCACCTGTAGGGTGTGACATCCAAGCACTGAAAAAGGAGAGGGCACCGTCCAATCATAATAGCCTCACTGGTGATCTGTGCTTCGTGAGACTACTGGAATCACTAGGCCGCGGGGGGTACTCGAGCCTATTAACAGTAGTAACAAGATTCTGCATCGCGTTACTTTCAGTGCGCGCATATACTCCTGTGTGCTGTTTTCTCGTCAACTTGACGTAATGAGACGCGAACTGCAGTTGCGAGTGAACGTTGTGAAAGCTGCAAGGGGAGATGCGCGTAATAAAATTGCGACTTATCCCTGGCCGCGAAGGTTTGGCTGGGAATCCCTTCGTTGATGGCATTTACTAAGGGACACCACAAAGTATGGCTCAGACCTGCCGAAAAATTTACACTGTGAGCATGCATATGCGTTGACCACTGCTAACATGGAGCTGGTGTTCATTGACATGCTGGCCAATGCATTCATTGGTCTTTGGGATGCGCTCCGGATGATGGGTCGCTTGTTTCATTTGTTTGGGGGTTTGGCCGCCTCATGTCGGCCACTATGGTAACCGGGACGCCGGCAACCTGTACAGTACAGGTTGATTCGCCTTCCCCTAAAAGCATCACGACGCAACATATAGAGCTCACACGCGTAGTTTTCTTGAGAGGAAAATACTACAAGTGAGCCGCAAAATGACCTACCTTTTCCGCAATCAAGGAAAGTTTGAAGAGCGCTTGAGTTCCTTTCCTTCCAGGTTCGCTTCTCAGTAGCAGTCAACTTTTTGATTGGACTAATTGGTTGCTGCAGAGGGCACATCGCATCTGCTGCTGCGAACATTGCACTACAACACATTCGGTAAGTCAATCTTTGGGATGTTCTGGTGACAAATCCCGAGTCGTGGGACCGCTTGCGCCTTACCTGTGCTGTAATTTCAATCCAGGCGGTGTACTTCTTAGTTACTAGTGTAAAACTTGCTGCGGACAAACAGAAAAAGCCCAGCTGCAGCCCCAGCACGCAAGCTCAATCGAGATGCTACGAAAACCCAATCGAGGTGCTACGAAAATTTCGCTATTCTTGTCGCAAGTCACTTCCTTCTAGCTCACAAGTGAGATTTAACACTTCTTCAGCGAGCCTATTTCCAGCTTCCTGAAGCAAAAGTAGCCGTATATTGCATAGTCGTAGCACGGAACTTTCAATCAACGTGAGGGAGAACGAATCCCCGTCCGTAATCTCAGGGGGAACGGCAAAGGCCTCTGCATCACTTACCTTAGCGTCTACCTCGACGATTTTTGTGCCGAGGACCTTCAAGCCAAAGTAAACAATGGCAGCAAGCAAGGCCGTACCGATGGCCGCTCCACCAAGGATGGGTTTGACTCCAAGTCTCGCAGGATGCGATCCCTCTGGTCGTGGTGATTTCTCAAGGCCGATTGCTATGAACGATTCACTTCCTCCGGCTTCTTCTGCAGCCAAAGCGGAGGCTGCGCAAGCTGCAATCACCAAGAATGCCAGACCGCGGCGTGCAAGTGCCACCATTTGCAAGGCAGGTGCTTCTACGAAGTAAATGCAACGTGGAAAAATTATAGAACCTCGTATCGCATGGTGACAGCACAAAATAGATAAAAAGCTTAACGCGTATAGCAGCGAGCTGCTGCTTGGCTGCCTCTATTATACCCCGCTACCACCACTGTCCCCGAAGGGGACCCAGTGATGGTGTCGTATGTTGCATTAAGCATTTGTCGTCGAATGCCAGTATTTTTAATATCTCTGCTATTTTATGCAATCGATGCAAATGTCTGGGTCCTTCGCCATCATCAGTTGGTTGTTGTTTCGCTTCTGGCTTTCTTGAAGCACTAGTGACGTTCTGTCACTCATGGAGGTCAACCAGGAAGGAATAAGCGTTCCGCGCAATTTTTTCCGAAACTCGTTACCACCAACATTTGCCTACAAGATAAATTTAGAATTCAAGAACTGTCGTAGATATGTTGACGCGGTTATCCATAGAATTCGGCCTTGGCGTGGGCAGAGCTGAGACTGTTTGTTGTGGCCTGTGGGGTTGAAGTTCTGTAGCCTTCCCCGCAGTGGTTCTTGCAGAGCTATGCTTCGTACATTTTGTCTGCTTAACTTATTTATTTCTGACGTAAGTGATAGTGCCAAGTGTCACTAGAAGGGCTTGGTGACGAGTCATAACCTGATGTTATGCGACGATACCTGCGTTTTCTTGTTATGTAGGGTGTCTTCGGAAGTGTAAAGCCTGGTGACTTGTACATTTGCACTCATTTGCGGATTCATATCTTGTGCTAAGCCTCTACTTTAGAGCCTTCTGAGCGGCTTCTCACTCACACTCAAGGAAGGCGCCCAGAAGCCTCCTGGAATGCCCTGAAGCAAAAACTTTGCTCAGCGTGGGCGCAAAATTGAAGGCAGATGCAGAATTCACTTGCGTTTGTTTCACATAAGTGCATTTCACTTGAGTGTCTTAGTGTAGACAATACTGTCGCGGACACTGTCGCGCAAAACACCATGGGTGCCGTTTGGGGCATTAAGTCCCTGAATTATAGCAATGAATTTTTCAAGTCATTCAAGGGCCTGGCCAGCCTTGCCAAACACAGTGTGGTCCATTCTGCCAGAGGTCGAATATAGTGCTCTGCCTGCGACCTCTGCAGTATGCTCCGGGTTCAAAGAGTTGAAGAGAATGTGTAGCGAGGATTTCTTTCGCACAGCATCGCCCTGAGGTGACCCGAGAGCACAGTCATACTTATGAAGAACCGAGTAGACTCCATGCCTGGTTTTATACGCTGCGAAAAGCGTACCACTGTACATCCCCACTTGGAGATAGCAGCTCAAGTCCAGTTAACTTTTGGACCTTGAGAGAGTGTGTATCCCCAAAGAACGCCCTGCATCCCCTCAGCGGCCGGGCTGCAAGAGCACCTGAGGAGTCCATACCAAAGATGTCCAGAAAACGCCGTCTAAGCGGGAAACCAGCAGTACACAGCGAACATGTATTAGAGCCAACCAAAAAGCCTAGCTCTAGAAGCATCAGAGATTACAGAGGCAACAAGACCATACGGCAGCTTTTCCCCTTCGCCACGGGCGGCGGTGCAGCTGTTGACCAGATAAATCTCATTCAACAAATGGCGGCCAAAACTGGAGACCTAGGGAAAAGCCCGGAGCAAAAGCGTTTAGGCAGGGCAGTTTTAAAGCCCATGTGTACCCAGAACACCTGTGATACTTCGCGCTTCTAGAGCCGAGTGGACGGCCCTTTATCTACGTGGGTACAAAGTGGCTCCCACGTGGTTCCTTGTAGCAGGCTGGCCTGGAAGCTATCCTCCAGCTTCCCCGAGAGTGCACGGGAAGCCTCGTTTGCACAACAGTCCCCGTTGACAGAGCCGACAAAGGACGGAAGCGTTCCCTTCTCTTCAACTTGAAATGAAAGGACCGAAGTTGCAAAAATACTTTTTACATCAGTCCCAACGACTGCCGTTGCAATCCGCAGTCGAGGTCCCAGCATAAAGTAACAAGTGTCTTCCCGTCGGCTGAAGACACAGCGTCCCACCCCCCTCGTGTGCAATTGTTGCAGCACTTCCCTCCTTGCATAACGTGGTCAAATTTGACCCACTAGTTCAGCTCGTTAAACTTCATTTATGAGCGCGCATGCTAGAAAGCACCATTACCATTGGTGCTATTTTAACATCTGCTCCTGGTTCCCTGGGGACCACAGAGTCTCTCCCGCACTGCTGCAGCCCGCCATTCACGTTTTGGGAAAAACGGAAGACGGACAAGTTTAACTTCATTTTGTAATCCTCCTAAAGTGCTACACTCGGAAACTGTCAAAATCAGTGGTGCAAACAGCGCCTGCCTTGACTCCTTTGCCTCCCTCTAGCGCATCCCTGACGTCATTTTTTTAGCGACTGAAACTGCAGCTTCTTACCCGTGTTGCCCTCGTGTATTATAGCGCACTTGCAGCTGTTTTGGCATGCGGGCAAACCAGCCCGTTGAACAAACCACTAAAGTGCTATGAACTGCTGTTGCCCACACGCCGAGTAGAAACTGTCATTACGGTGTATGGTTCTCTTGTGAACGAAAAAGCTATCATTACTATTAAAACAATCCATTCATTGGGATATTGCCGGCCAGGGTCATTCGCCGTGGTGAAACTTAACGGGTGTCGTAATTGAACACGCGCGGGCTCACAATCAAGACAGAAGCACGGCACTGGCTGATAATGATAGCGACAAAAATGCTGTTATTATCAGAAGTCTGAAATATGAAACAAGGATATTGATTAAGTCAAGGATATGTTGCACTTCGCATGCAGGAACCGCCTGCCAGCTGCGTTGACCAGTGGCTCAATGTTTGAAAGTAAAGATTGGGCGCTCAAACCGCAGGAGGCAACAGATTCGATCCTGCATATTTCTCCCCATAACAGTGCAGAATCATACATATTTATAAATGCTTAAAGCTTTTGCCTATACTTAGACCTGCATTTCATGCTGCAGTTGAGCTTCGAGCCTGTGGCTCCCTGTTCGTGCTCCCCTTTTGAATGATTGAGGTGCTTCGGTACTGTACTTGTTCAACCAAGGTTTATACCCATTGAATTACTGAATTGGGAGTGGTAATAGTCACTGGTTAGTTCAGGCCCTCCGCGCCATTCATCCCTTGCGCTACTGCTGCATCGGTTCTGCTGCCTCTCGTGATAGCAGAGGCCTTAAAGCTCCACACTGGTGAATAGAAATGTAGTGCGCTGCTCTTGAGTGCCCTTGAGTGCCCATCAACGTCTGCTTCCTGCGGTAGCCAGGCCACAAAGAGTGTAGTGTGGCTTCCAAGAGGACGGGTTTTGCTGGTTCGCTCCTCACTCCGGAGTGACCGCTTTGAGGTCAATGTGCACATGTTATACGGAACGTGGATGGTGGAAAGAAAGCAGCACCTATTGGAGGCAAGCGGCCCACAGGACACAGCAAGATGAGTCTCCCGGTGTCAAACTATGGTGTTCTTGGAGAACGCATTTTGTGGCCTGCGGGTTTCGTTGCACTGCAGAGGATGCCTGGTGAGGACACTGACAATACATATGTTTTCATGTGTATTAACAAGAGCCAGTCACATGCAGCAGGAAGTATAGTATTGTGGGTGTTGGGGATGCGGGCTGATCTGCAAGAGCTGTGCAGTTTCCGGCATTCGGTTCCTATCTTTGACAGTAAAGCAACACTCCTGGGGTTGGATTGGAGATGGTTCCACTAGGTTTAAGCAGAGATGTAGAGCCAGCTTTTTGCGTTTTCGCCTGGCAATGTTTATCAGGCAGCGCAGCCCACGGCGAAACATGGTTGATAAAAAACGACGTAAACGCCCAAAAAGAAGAGCTAGCAAAGCGCAAGTAAGGAAGCCTGTTGGACCTACATTGTACCGTGTCGGACATCTGTACCTGGACAGTGGTTTTACTGCTTCAGTGACTATTATGTTGCTCGAGCACAATGGGGCCTGTGCTGCTGCAGAGCGAAGCTCGAGGAAGCAGTTGCCCGCCTCGATCTCGGCATCTACCAAGCCGCTCAAGACATGGAAGAGGAGCAAGAAGAAGCATTCGAAGACGATGAACACTATGACGATGAAATGGACTACGCAGAGAGATTTGACCCCCATGACAGGTAATTACAGCGGAAAGTTCGTGTATGGGGGGCAGGCTGACTGAGGCGGAATAGACTTCGTAGAAGCGTTGGTTGCTGTTGGCGTCGGGCGTAGTACACTTGGAAAGTTACTGGACAATGTTATGCATAGGCGTTGTGGCAGAGTGAAATATAATGGAAGTCCGTCAATGCAGTCGCTTCTTTGAATTCCATTCTCGAGGCATACCTCAGCGGAATGTATACAACTGGTGCTATGTGTGCCTTCAAAGAGAGGACCCGGAAGTGCTTTTGGAAGAAAGGCAACAGCTCAAGACAGATATCGAAGATCAACTAGAGGAGGTGGGTAGAGACGTCGTTGTGTTTTAGTACATTGGCATTCGTTTCCCGTTTGCTGGCGTACCACTTGAAATCTGAAGAAGCAGAAAGCGGCAGACTGCGCAGTAACAGTAGTTTGATTTCTTGTACTAGCCATCTGTTAGCAGTTTGCGTTGCGCGCACAGAAATAGGCTAAGGCAGTGCCGCATAGGTAGCATGGTAGAGCCTGCTTAAGGTTTTTTAACTTGCTTGGTGCTTAGGTCGAGAAGAAGCTAAAGGAGCTTGAGTCAAGCAACCTTAATTTCACCTGGGAACGCCGTGAGCTTCCGATAGCAGTAAGCTAGAATTTACTCACTGCTGTGCAGAATAGCAGCTTGCATGGCGGTTAATGAAAATTTGAGGTGCTGTGTTTGCAATGTAAATTCGAGCTGGCGAATATTATGGATCAGCGTTCCGTGAAAACGCGTTATGGAGTGCTGTGTGATGCATGGTGCTTTACGTGGCTTTCACTCATTGAACAAGACCATACTTACGGTGTTGACTACTTTACCTCTTGCACACTAGCAGCTTTGCGCGGATCCAGCTTTTTTGTCTTCACTTGTTCGG